TAAAGGTAGTATAGGCCTTTTCTTTATTATAGCTTATAAATTCCCAGTACTTAAGTTTACCTACGTTATAAGTTTATATAATAGGTTTTATTTTAAACTATTTAGGAAAAAAAGCGCTTTATACTTTCTCTTTAAAGTAGGTTTAATATAGGTTTTATATATAAAAAGCTTAGGATATATTGCAGTAATTAAGGTATTCTAGCTATAAGTATAGCTTGTTTTCTATTTACTATAATTCCAAAGGCTAATTAAATTTTTTGTAGGCTTATTCAATTATAGCACCTGTAATAGTAATTCTAATTATGCTAGTATTTAGAGCGATAGGGATACTAAGTTCTAGATATTTCTCAGAATTTTTATTTAAGTTTTTTATAAGGTTTTTATCTATTTCCTTATAGTTTTTCTAAGGGTTCCTTAATTCCTTATCTGCAGTACTTAAACAGTTTAAGTTACTATTGTTTATTACTATATTGTATAATAGTCCTTATCTTCCTATTATTAACTATCTTTCCTATTAAGGTTTTTTAGGAAACTATTTAAAGGCTTTTTTTTTTGAAAAATATAGTACGTACTAATTATAATAATAAAAGGTCTAGTAAAGGGTTTTATATTATTTATTAGCGTCTGCTATTTGCTTAGGAATAGGTAGTAGGTTATTTAAATCTTTTAGCTTCTATTTGTTAAAGTAAATTGAATATTTTATATAAAAGTTAGGTTAATAAATATAGTTAGTTTTATCTTTTAAGTATACTGTATATTTTTTATTAAGTAAGTAGTTATGCTATTTTAAGGGGTTTAGTTGTTAGATTATATTTAATTAGCGTTGCCCTTTAGGGATTGATTGCTACTGTTGCCTTTTTAGTTGACAGTAGTTCTTAGCAAAGTAACCTTTTTTACTGTAGTTATAGCAGTTTTTATTAGTAAGCTTTTGCTAAGCTATATTGAGTTTTATAGGCCTTATATAGGTTTTGTAGGAGGTATTGCTATAGCTTTGTTAGTGTTTAGGTTTGTTGCTATTATAAAAGTTGCTATTATGCTGGTACTTTTTTTTGGTGTTGGGTTGGTTTTTAGGTTTTTATAAGTTGTTTGGGGTTTTGCGCTGTTGTTTTTGCTTTTGTTTAAAGAGTTGATTATTGATATATACAGCTATGGAAATATATTTAGTGAATTTATTGGGTTGGTTTAGTTTGGCTATTTTATTTTTAATATCTTTTTTAAGTTCTTTATAGAATTGGCTTATAAGCGCTTTTTTATTTTAACTGATGTGTGTGGTAAGCTGTTTGAAGTGCGCTGTATAGGTGGAAGCTGAGTTGTTTTATTGAAGTTGTATAAGTTATTACTTTACGGTTTTTTCCTTTTTAGGATTTTTAAAAGCGTTTTTAAGTGTTTATTTGAAGTAGTTAAAGCTTTGGAATATTTTCTTTGTATTGTTGTTTTAGTTTTTTTTTTTGTTTTCTAGGTAATTCTTAAAGGTTAGTTTAAACTATATTAGTGTATTACTTTTAAGATAGTATTTTGTAAAGATAATTTTATTGTAGTTGGTGTTAAACTGGAGAGTGTAGTGTTTAAAGTAGGCTTAGCACTGGGTAAGGAATTTTTAAAAGGTTCCTTTATTTTCCTTATAGGGGCTAGGCTTATTTATTTTATAGGATTTAGCCTGTTAGGCAGTATAGAGGTAATTAATTTCTTATTAGAGGAGTTTGATTTAGTTAGTAAGTTTCTAAGCGCTAAGGCTGTTGTTGCTAATGTTGGAGGAGGTGGGAGTTTAAGGTGCTATTATATCTTAATATTGTATAGTTAGTATATATGTAAGCTGTTCTGAATAAGAGTTATTAAAATATAATAATTATATAAAACCTTTGTAAAATTTAGTAATAGTTTGTAGGGTTTATATTAGTAGTATAGCTGTAAAGGTGATATTTAACTATGCAATATTTTGAGTATAGGCAATAATTACTAGCTGTAAGGCTATTTAGTTAATAAAACTGAATACTTAAATTAACAATTAAAAAGTTTATTTTATAAAAGCTATTTACTATGGTAATAACTATATTTTTATATATTTTTAACTCTTTAGTAGCTTGCTAGCTTGCTGGTTGAGCTATTAAGCTATAATATAAGGCTTAATAATCCACTCTGTAAGCTGGCTTGCTAGGCTTGTAATTAAATTTTGCAAGCTAGACCTTAACCCTGGGTTTTGTATATTCTATAACTCTATACTCTAGTACTATAGGGCTAGCGTTATAGTTTCCCTCTGTTAGTCTCCTAAACTGCTAGAATAGGTACCTTAGCACTATCCTTTCTGTTAGTTCATAATACTTTAATACTATTTTTATTAAAAATAAGTATAATTATTAAGCTTTAAAACATTACTTAAGCCTATTTATAATTTAAAATAATATTAAAATATATACTTTTTATAAGCCTATTATTAAAAATTTAAAATAAATACTTAGTAAATATTATTATAAAAATTATTAAGCTACTTTATAGTATTACTAAAGCAAATATTTACTAATAAGCAATATACTATTACTACTACTATAATAAGTTAAATATAAAAATATCTATTTATAACCTATACCTTTTAATTTCTATCTATAATTAAAACTACTTTAGCATTATAACTATACAAATAAATAACACCCTTTTAATAATTACTCTTACCTTTTTAATATTAAAAAAAAAGAAAATTTAGAAAAAATAAATCTACTATAAACTAAAAACTAAACTTATAATTAACAACCCTTTTAACTTTAATAGCATAAAAATTACTATAAATCCTAATAAATCTATTAACCTTATTTAAAAGGGTTAAAATGCAAAAATTAATCTAATTAATATCAAATTTTTAAACTATACTTAAAAATACCTTAAACAATATACTTATAAAGCATATTTAGCATTTATATATTAATTAAAAGCAGCTTTTAACCTATTTATAGCTACTTAAATCTAAAATCCAAACAATACTATATATATCAAACTTAACCATTAGCTTTAATAGCAAGTACAAAACCTTAACTATAAACTACAATATATTTCTATTAACTTTACTTTAGCTAAACTTATAATTTTTATAAATAATTCCTTTATAAATAACTAAAACCTTAGCTCTCAAATTAACTTTATAATTACCTTAATTAATAAAAAAAAAAGCATTAACTCCATAAAATAAAAAATAACTAACAATATTTTATACTAATCTTCAACTAAGTATAAAAAAATTATACAAAATATACTTATTTTAAAAATTTACAGTATAATCAATAGCTTTAATATAAAAATTATACTTACTACAACTCTTTAGCAAATTACAGCTTACCTTAATACTCTTATAATACCACTAATAATCTATACAAACTCATACTTTCTCTATAAATATCTTATTAAATTAAAAACTATTAAAAAAAAGCAACTAATAATAAATATAATAGTACTTTAATAGTTATATAAGCAGTAAAAAATTTATAAACTGCGCTAAATCAATAATAATAATAACCTAGTAAATATATTTACCAAAATTAATTTAAATAAAGTATTTAAACAGCTTATAACTATTAACAAATTAACTATTAAAATTAAAGGCTATATAAACTAAAACTAATTAACTTAGTAAAAAAAAAAACTATTAAAAATAAAATTAATTTGCAATAATAAAGTATACTAAACTTAAATAGTAAAACTTTAGATTAGTTTTATTACCCTTAAACTAGCTTATATTAATTAACAATTTACACTTTTAAGCTATATTTCCTTAAATTTATCCTAAAAGTATACCTTATAACAAATTTTTATAATATAGCCTATACACTAAAAGTTTAAATAATAAAAATTACTACTATCCTATAAGCTAAATACTACCCAATATTTAATAAGCATTTCTAATTAAATTTTATAGTACTAACATTTATATATTAAAAATTAATTAGTTAATTAATTAATTTTATATTTTTATTACCTACTACTACTTACTAAATTTACTAAATTTATTAAATCTACTAATTATACTTTTTCTTTTTATTTTATTTTATCTTATTATTACTTAATATTTAAAATAAAGTTATATTAATATTATTAATTAAGCTAACTAATACTAGCCTAGCTTAAAGATTTATCCTTATTTATCTATTCTTTAAATAGTAAAATTATAAGTTTACAAACTATTTTAAAATAAAGTTGTTTATAAAGTAAAAGTAATTATTAAATATTAATTTAAAAAGCAATTTTAGTAATAAAAACACTATAGCAACTTTTATTTAAACTTAATAAACTTGCTTATCCTAAAAACCCCTAAATAAACTTAAAAAAATTAAATATTTAAATTATTTAAGCACTTAATTAAAGTATATAAATAATTACTTTAATTATTAAGGTTTTAAATTTAAATTATGCAAAAAATAGTTTTTAAAGGGGTTTTTAATACCTATAAATATATATATACACTTAATAAAAAACTACTAGTATATAAATTATAGCGTTAGCATTTATAGTAAACTAATTAATCCGTTAAGCCTATAACTATAAATAAGCCTTAAAGGAATATAGCTTTTAGCTGCTTCCTATAACTAAGCAAGCAACCCATACTTAAATAAACACTAATATCCCCAAACGCGCATCGTATTCAAATACGTGACCCAGCTAACAAAGATAGTATTCTTTACTATATAGCACACTCTGTTGTAAGAGGGATATTAAATCTCTATGTTCATTTCGAGTTTAACAACAATAAGATGTCGAGGGAAGGATATAAATGCAGAACACTCGTGGGCATTCAAATGGCGTAAGGATTTCATATGCGCCGAATGGGTGCCTGGTACTTGTGTGTGGGGCAGCCAGAACATTATATACAAGGTTAATATAAGCAGTTTAGAAAACAGATGAGAGTAGATTGTTTATTTTTCTTTTCCAAAGAGCGGGGTATACAGAGTATAAAATACTTCCACGTAAAAGGAAGACTATCTCTCCGTATATGTGTGCGCACTATCGCTGCCTCAGTATCAAAGTCTCTGTGAAGCTCTTTGTTGGTATTGTTCCATCAGTTCTGCTAATAATTGAGCGTCTTTCAATATATCAGCATCATCAGGGCGCGAACGTGCATTCACACGGTCCTTTATACCAGCCAATGCCTGAGAAGAGAAGGTGGCAACTTTGGCCGCAATGCGATCGACGTGCTTCGACAACTCAACAGGCTCCAATGCCTGATTGATCCAGCCAAGTCTCTCAGCCGTATCTGCGTCAACATCTTCTCCAGTGACCATATACTGAAGAGCGCGAGCCCGCCCAAGAAGCCGAACCAAATAGTCGATTCCGCCAGCTCCAGGCGCAATCCCTACCGTCACTTCTGGTTGTCCGAGTTTGGTCTTGTGTTTAGCTGCAAATCGCATGTCACAGTGAAGAATGAACTCGCTACCAATTCCTCGGGCGATACCGGCTATCTCGGCAATGAAAATTATAGGGGACTTGGAAATTTTGAAGAGTATGTTGTTGAATAGCTTCTCCTGCTGATCTTTGACTGAAGGGGCTTCTGCAAATTTCTCTCAGCGTGGTGAAAAAAAACAAGAAGCTTCTGGGAGCTTACCTGGACCAGTTGGTCTGAGGTCATAATGAGCAACGAAGTAGTCGGGATTCCCACTGGAAAATATGACAACCTTAACATCTTCGTTCCCTTCTAAAGTGTCAAGAACCTCGGCTAGGTCTTCTGTTAATTTCCAATCCCAAAGATTCAAAGCCCTATGATCAATAATAATTCGTAAAACACCCTTCTCGTTTGATAGAATCTTGATGGTATTGTAATGCGACTTAGAAGTGAGCTAGGAAATTGCGTATCTTGATCTTGATATGGGAACTTACCATTTTGTTGAATCCAGTAAACACTCATACTTCTGCACGGGTTTCGTGGTTTGAACCTGCAAGAGAGATTGTCAGCTTTCGTGGGTCAAGACGACAATAAATATCTCAAATCTGAAGTATAGCCAGCAAGGCGGGTTATATCAGCTGAGGGCCAATGATCTTACCTGCCGAAAAATTCATGGTTGATAATCGTACTCATCGCATTCTATTAATTCCCCGAAACGATCACATAAACTTCTACCCCACATCTCTTTAGCTTCTTTGCTGAACATGGACATGTTCCATGTGAAAGACTCTCGAGACAGATTTTGGGACATTTTGAGGGTGGAGAATATTAAACTCATACAACTGTCTAACATATCAAAGTTGCCGAGCTTGCCGAACATGGCGATCTAGAACTATTTCATCATCAGAATAGGTCAGGTCTACCTCGGTCTCCCAAACTTAAATCGACTAACCTCGGCCCGTTTACAATCTGTACGTTGGAATCAATGTATTAATAAGCTTTGATCGAGGTATTTATCCTTTTTTGTTGTGGTGGATGTGTGTGCCCCCATTCCTTCACTATATAGTTCTGTTTCTAATCAGACACACGTGGTCAATCTTCATTGCGCCGTTTGAAGTTGACACACCATACTCCTATTGCGCCCAATCCATAAACACCCGCCGAGACGAAAAATGGAAGCCCCACCGCATTACCGCCCAGTTCCACTCCGGCAGAGAATGTCAGCCCAAGCAGCGGCGCGGCAGCTAATACCGCAGTGCCTTCAAAGAGCGCCATGGTCGTGTATAACAGAGCGATGTGCCTCTCGGGGACGAGGGATGTCAGAAACGATCGCATTGCTGAGGCGTATCCGGCTCCAAACACATTGATAATCATGACTGCAGCAAGCATTGCACATGGGTTAGAAGTCTTGTTCTGATGAAGCTACATTGAGCAGAGAGCGACCAGAAGTGCAGCCATTTTGGCACGATGTGCTCACTCACATGTAATGAATAAGGGAGCAGTCGGCGCAAATGCCATGCCTAGGCACCCAGATCCCAAAAACAGCACAGATACCCTAGAGAGTTCCAGACTGGCTGCAGAGGCTTGCCAGCTCCTCGCCAGGAGAAAACGGTTTGCACTGGGGAGAAGGACCAGGAACAGCACTATTTGCGTGGCGGCTTGTATTGATATTAAGTAGCTGGTCTGCACTCGAGGGTTTGTTAAACACTATCAAGACTCTGTTTGAGAATTTGAGGTCCGAAGACCCGGGCGGACTCAACCTACCCTGCTGAGTGGCCACCCGAATTTGAATGACATGTACTGCAGAATGAGCTCCAACATCGGTCGACTGAGCTTCTGGACTGGGAGGACGAGGAGGCCGATGAATACAAGCCGGTTGGTGAGGATCGAACCTATGTCGTCACGAATGTAACGCATCAGATTAGCCAGGGGCTGCCGTATCTTGCCCTGTATCTCTGGTTCAGCTTCTTCTCCTCGTGAATCATGATGGCTGTCGTCTCCTTCTTTGGGCTTTTCTCTAATAAAGATCAGGGCAATGAAGCCAAGTGCTTTCACTGGTATGCCGACGAGGAAAGTCAGATGCGGCCCGATCGCATCCAGGAGTAGTACACCTATTGCCGGCGCGACCATCTCAGAGATGAGGATCACAACGTGGACGTAGAAGAAAGCTTGGGTCCTGCGAACAAGAGCATCAGTTTCGTAGATTTCATAGCCGATCTCTTTATCGCGGACGGCTGACCTGAACACCTCTGGGACAGTAGCAGCCACAATCGCCATTATCATCGGCCCGAAGAGCGTCGTCCCACCTCCGAGTAGCACAAAAGCCGGAGCAGCGTAGACGGCCTGTAAAGGGAACACTTCGTGGAAGTAGAGCACAACAAATGTCCAGGCGTCCCTTAGGATGAAGCCAACCAGACACGCACCGGCGACCAGCCTCCGCCCGCTGGCATCGGCGAGTATGCCGTACGGCACCGCAAACAACAGGCCCGGCAGGCCCTCGAGGAGGCCGAGGAACCCCCGCAGGCGGGCGAGCGGGCTCTGAATGTCTCTTAGCTTGCACAGGCGCTCCGGTACACTCCCGCCGGGCCCGATGACGCCCGGGTCCCTGGTCTGATAGTACTCTCGACAGAGACCCATCTCGAGCATCCGGATCCTCGGGCCTTCACCCATGAACATGGGGGCGTCGACTAGGAAGAGAAGCAGCAGGCAGGAGTAGAACGTCCGCCATTGTTGCACGTGCTGTCGGAATGCAGATATGCGACCCCTTCGTAGGGGCCAGCTGCCTCGGTCTGTGCCGGGAGGTGGCACGGAGAGGAGGGCCGACTCCTCTGTAGCTGTCAGCAATTCGTCCTGCTCCATTTGATATGGTGATTAACGAGACGTTTCTTCAGAAACTATCACGAAGCTTGCTTGTCATCAACGAGGGGTAGTAAACGAAACAGCAGTCGACGATGGCGGCGGTTCGTTGCAAGATGCAGGGTTCAATCTGTATTTACGAGCGGATTTCATGTATATACGCTTGGTGTTGCGGAGAAATCCAGCTTACCAGGATGAGCTGAACAATGACGATGGTCTGCAGTTGTGAGTGGTGCACCGAAGTGCCGGCCACTGGTCCCCGTTCTTAAAGGTGGTTAATCCAAAGCTTGTTGGATGCAACACTGAGCATTTTTGTCCAATGCTTAGCCGACAAGCAACTGCAAGGTGATGAAAATGATAAAGCAAGCATACTTAGGTACCTTATCTCCCTGCCTAGCCCGCTTTCTCCAATTTTCTGATGTTTTGAATTCACACAACATTGATCCAACATGGGAATCACTTGAATAACATGACAAAGATATCCCACATTTATAATTAAAGAATACTGATCACCAACTTTCTAACTTGACTATACAAAAGTGCGGCGTCTGGATGTAATCGTTCTTCTTGGCAGTGATGTTGTTACTCGTCCTCATCCTCATCTTCGTTCTCGTCATCATACCCACCGTCCTCATCTTCCGACGTCGTCGTCTCGTCATCTTCGGTATCGGACTGATGCTTTTCCTATGATACAAAAAAGGAAATTAGCAACAACACACATTCGTATTTTTAATACGTAGTTTGCCAGGTTGTGAAGAGTACTTACAATGCGTCGCCGCTTAGCCGGTCGTCGCGAACCGCCATCAGGGTTGTTCTGCAGCTCCGGCAAATCGTAGACTATGTCAGGGATGTGTTGATCCGCTGGACCTGTCACGATGCCGAACTCGTTGCACATGCCATATTGACCACTAGTCCCGTAGAATCCAATGATTTTCTGGTTGGGTCCTGGGACTGGTTCTCATGTGTTGGTTAACCTGGTCGTAAATGTGTGTTTGCACACGGCAGACTGCCGGCGAGAGATAATAGATAGAACCACAATTGTAATGTGCAGAAGTAGACTCACCAAGAGTTTCGACAGTCCCATCATAGCCTTTGTTTAGTGCGCCCATAGCTTTGCCATTGGAGAGCCACATTCTCAACCCTTGTAGACCACAGCTACTATTCTTCGTCACCGCGACTTTGACGACATCCACGCGCTTCGGAATCGCAATCTTCCGCGCCTGGTGACCACCCATTCCCGGATCGTTCCCGTTCTTGCCACGTGGGCCACAAGGGACACGCGTGCCGTCCTTGTAGTAGACCACCGCGCCATCAAGTGCACATCCGACCCTTAGGTCGATCTTGTGTGCGGGCACGAGCTCGTCTTGGCGACCGCGCTTCTTTAGCATTACGGCCCATGGCCAGTCTTCCTTCTGCGGCTCGCCGCTGCTGACGCTTTGCTTCTGCAGGCAGATGCTAGTCCCTGGTACACGAATCGACGACCTGCTGGAGAAGAGCCGAGACAGGTCGGTGGTCTGATGCGCGCCGTTCATGGCCAGCACTTCGACCTGCAGCGGCTTGAGCAGGTCAAAGCGGGACTCCAGCTCATCAAGTGTGTATTGAAGGGACGTCTGAGGAATGGCAAGAGTGGCGCTGGCTTCCATCTTGCCTTCGAGCAACACCTGCGCAATGCCAGCTTCGCAGGTAATGACTACGCGAGTGAATTCCTCATCGTCACGAATCTCGAAGCTAGGAGGCTTGTCGTCCCGTGACGAGTCTGAAGGCTGCCTGAAGTGCGGCAAGTTAACGAACCGAAGCATATCGCGGACATCCCACCGGCAGTCGTTCGCTGTAGACGGCGTGACAGGCTCAATACTGTCTGTCTTGGCGTGTGTGCAGTATGCGGTTTTCGCTAGAAAACATTTAGGCCAATCTTTGGAGTACCCCCTGGCCATTATACCTGACGTATGGGGCGCTGAGAATGCGTGGCCGACCTCGTGCAAGAACGCCCCCTGGCCCACAGCGTTGGCTTCCCACATAGACTCGCATTCGCCGTTGTCGTTGCCTACTCGGTCGCCGGGTGCGCGCTCGTCCAGTAGACAGTCGGGGACCTCCTCCATGAACCGTGGCCACGAATATGTCAAGTGACTGCCGAAAACCCCAAGGGAGAGACCATCAGGATTGTGTGCACCCAAAGCCGCATGAGCGAGAATCAATTTGCTCTCCGCATCGTAGTGCGAGTCTAAGATCAGGCCGGCTACGACCGGCCTTGCCTTGGAGGTAAATGGTCCTCCGTGTGCAAGCAGCGCTTCGCTGAAAATCTTGTGCAGATCGTCTCTGCGTCTTCCACTAGGATTCTGTTGGGCAATCTGCGCATCGCGGAGCTCCGCAACAGTCTTGTCTGCTCGGATCAAATGGACTTTGGCAGTGGATTGCATCGTTACATCGTGTGCGAAGGACTGACTTAAGCTATCGGCGGCCCATTCTTCCTCCAGACGGAAAGATCGTCGACCGAGACCGTTCTTGCGCAACTCTTCGGCTGTCAGGGCCTGCCACATATACGCCGTGACGCGGAACTTTGCTATGGCAGCTTCCAGGCTAGAATGAGCACTTGAGAGGCCGCTGTACTTGCTTGGTGGGCAATCAATCGCTAAGGGCGAGTCTTTGGCTACCATAATAGCCAGATGCAACGGTGGTGTCTGGAGCAGTGGTATATATTGCAAGCGAATCTTGTAGATTGTCAATGTCCCCATGCTTGGTTTGACGAAGGTTTTGGTTCGACCTAGCTTACAGTCTTTTTATGAGAGCCATCCTGCCCAGACGTGATGTCGATGATGTTTTGTCCTGGATTTAAGATGAGCAGCGCCTTGAACCAACCATAGCACATTGGCCATTGCTGCTCGGGAAACAGAACACAGCCTGCATCATCTTTGGTTTCGATGCGCACATAGGCACTGCGTTTCTGAGAGGTGGCTTCACATCGCCCTGTGACGAGAACACAGCGCTGGTAGATGATCTCGCCGTCCTGCAAATTGTCAAGGGCGAACATTGTCTCGGTGTTCAACAGAGTTGGTAAAGTCTGTGATGGGTGGTAATGTTCAGAGGACGATGGATGCTCAGCACTCCACTGCAGAAGTAAATTGAATCTGGCATAAGCAAACCTCGAGCTTTTATGCCGCTGGATCTACGCGTCTTTCTCGTGATTTTCACATTCGACTAGCTAGGCAACGTGGCTGCAGCCTGGGCGATGGTCGCTATCGACGGATAATGTACTAGCGCCTTAGTACCATGTAGGCTAGCTGCCTGCTGCCTGCGCTGATACTCGAGTGATGGCTGCTGAGCTAGCCGTTTTGGGCATGTTCAAATTGCTAACCGCCAGCTCCTGCAATCTCAAGGCAGCTATGGAGTTTCAGCACGTATACAGCAAGATCATGCAGATACACACAGAGCCGTGTTAAATGACCAATCGAATCCCACATCACATAGAGCTGTCAAACAAGAGGCTGTTGGATGTTGCACCGTGCGCAAATACAATCGACATAGGTCGTCTTCGTCCAATTTAAGCTTGTCGCGCTGCTATAGGCCGCTGGGTCATTTGCTTGGCTGCAAATGTTCTAGGCCAGTTGACCCAAACCCTCAGTCGATGCTCAGCATGACAACACAGTTCTGCTTTTGCTCGCTTCATCATGCGGATGCCAGTCTAGCTTCATCCAAATGGACGGGCACCACAGTAATTGTCATACAAGTACTCGTCTGGTTCAGTACCACGATGACGTTCCGAGGTATTTCCCCGTGTCGTAACCCTGTTGCACAGGATCTGCTGGATTTAAGTGTCCGTACCTGGCCTTTCCAAAGGGAACATCCGTGCCTGTCTTCAATCCGCGCTATATCACCAGTTGCATGTGCGCGATGTACTCTAATATGATGCCATTACTGAACATCATATGCCACGTGAGCTTCGAAGACCCAGTCCAAGGCACAGCTGGGGAGCAACGCAACAAATGTTTTGGAGCAGTCCCTCACGCAGCGGAGATAGTGCAATGTGTATTGAAATATAGTGGTTAAAATATTATTTGCCATCATTCAAACACGCTATTGATAATCATTTATATCGCAACCAGTCGCTTCTAGTACAAAACTCCCCACTTTATCAACAAAGGAACCAGCCCAATCTTGGCCATTCAGTCTCATTGTCTTGCATTTCCAGGGAAGAATGATTTCTCCTACCGTTGTCTCGGGTACTGATACGTTGGCAATGTAGTTCCCATCGGCCAGCCTCCAGCTCGCGTGGAATTGCCCAAAGGGGCTCCTAAAACCGCTCTGCGCCTCTTGCACCCCGCCACCCGGCTGCGGCGCGAACGTCCACCTATGCCAGCCAGAAAGCCCCAGGTCTGTGAGCTTCGTGGTAAGCGCGATCAGGGGCCCAGTAGACCAGCTGTGGCTCATGCTGGTGTACGCCGCGTCGTAGTTGTACCCGGACGCGCCTCGATAGTACAGACTGCCGTTGGCCGCCAGGCCCTCGGCGAGTGTGCTGCCCGTCATTTCCGGTGAGTCGAGCAAATGGCCCCAGAGGCGTCCTGCAAGCTCCAGGGCGCGGTCTGGTTCTCCCGCCGCAAAATGGCCCAGAAGTTCCACGCCCGAGATGAACGGGGAGATGGTGTCGGGCAGCTCCGGTGTCACTGGGCCAAAGCCGTTCCAGTTGGTTGTAAGGGCTTTGCTCAGTGCCTTGGCCTGCTTCGTGTCCCTTGTAAGATTGAAAAGGAGAGCCATGGCATTTCCGTCCTGAGGGTGGAGAGATGTTGTTGTGTTGTCGTTGTAGAGTGATGCATCAGGGTCCCAGAGATGTTTGTTGAACGCCTCCTTGATCCCTTCTGCAGCAAAGCTCCATGCCTGCGCCTTGTCTAACTTGTTCAAGGACTTGGCGAGTGACGCTACTGAAACAAGCGCATGGTAGTCAAGTGCATTTAGAGCACTGTTAAACCCACCTGTACCCTGTCGGCCCCAGTCGTTTGCCCCAACCTGCTTGTGTAGACCGATATCGCCGCTGATGCCGTTGAGGATGTATCCCACGGCGTTCGTGATGTTGTACCAATGCCTCTCCACCCACGATTCATCGGCGGTAAAGATGGCATATTGGTAGATAGCAACAAGGTTCCAGGCGTGGTAAGTGTCGCTCTCCTTGCCCGAGTTGAAGGACCGCGTCGATGGCCCCGCGTAAGGGAACCTGCCGGTTTCATTTTGGTAATAGAACATGGTCTCAAGCGAGTTGTTGAACGCTTCAAGACCGATGTCGCCGAGAGCCAGGAAGGCTGTTTGACCCGAGATGCCGTGGTCACCAGGCCACACCGCGCGATCTCGCTTTGCTCCGTCCATCAGGACGGGTCCGGCGACCCCAGTGCTGGAGTTATATGCCCAACCTGGCTGTATCTGCGGCAGAAATCGGCCCGTATCTACGGGCCCTATGTTAGTCTGCACTGTATAGGCCGCAGCATACCAGATCCTCGAGAGAAGGTCATGGCCGGGGGCGAAGAAGTAGCCAGAGTAGTCTCGCAGGTTGGCCTGTGACGGCGAGAAGCCAACTGCGCAGGTAATGTTTGATATAGTGACTGGTGCCTTTGCAACGATGGTCATGAATCGAAAACCCCCTCGAAACCTCTCCTGAGGCATCGTGTACAGCACCGCATCTCCGACGTCAACAGTCACGTTGAGTTCCCTGTCCCAGTCTTGTGAAGCTATAGAACCCGTCGCGTCGTCTGATATTGGCCCAACATGTGCAGGGGACTCTGCAAATGCAAGAGACAGCTGAGGGCCGCTGGACCCGTCCGTCAGCGTCTTGATATTTAAAGTTACAAGCCCACCAACTTCGACGCCGTAGTCCAGGGTGGCCTGCGCCCCCGTGTCAAGAAACAACACGTATCCTTCAGCATCGGACAATACCTCATGATACCCGAGCTGGACCGAAACGTTGACTGGGCGCACCGTACGCGAAGAGGGGCTCAGGATATAGGGCTCCCATGGTGTCGCCTGGGCCCAAGCATGTGATGTTACTAGAAGGCCACAAAGTGCTAACTCGAGTATAGAGAGGGCGGAATATAACATGATGAACGGTGTGATAATTCAGTCGCTAAAGCTTTACGGTTTCCTTTATCTTATAGGCAAGTAGATCATTTTATAACGTTGTTGTTTGTGTTGTATTTAGTTCGGGTACTATTATCCCGAGTTTATCTCCGCTCAGGCGGCCGAACTCGTTTTTAATATTTGTTAGATCTACAGGAAGTCTAATAATCTCCGAACTAGTGATCGAATGCATATTTATCATGATTCTGAAAAAGAAAAACAGAATGATTAGTCTTATTGTTTTAACTTTTTTCAATGAATTTCACCTAGTGTTTTAATTTTTGATTTTTATTCTTGTTGGATTCATTCAATACGATCATCTAACGACCTGTCCTGTAGCAAGTAGTTTGCTGATTCCTGGGAGGGGCAGCGTACAGCTTGGCGGCCGTTGCCACGCCACAAACCCCGTGCCGCGCCGGACCATCTCCTGCCTCATCTGCGTCGCCCTCCTCAGCATCGCCCCGTAGAATGGCACCTCGGGCAGTTCGGGCATCGGCGGCCAGTCGAACGCGCCGGGGGCCTGGTCCCAACGCATCTCCACCTGCTCCTTGTCCCCGAACCCCACAGCGGACCGACGCGTCATCCAATCGTCAAGGTGCCGTCTGTACTCGGCCACGGGGGCGTCGAGAACAACGTCCTCGTGTTTCTGCCACGCCGGCGCGGCACCGTCCTCGGGCGTATCGAGGACCATGGCGATGTTTAGTTCGTGAGGATAATTCTCGTCGCGCAGATGAGTGTCCCGGGTGATGATCTCGTAGAGGGTGAAGGCGGCAAACTTGACGTCGTTGCGCGCCGGGTCATAGCTCTGTCTTCTGTGGTCCTCGGTCTCCCAGCCCAGCCTGCTGGCGAGGTTGAAGTCAAATATGAGCAGGTCGTCCGTGAGGGGGTCAATGAGGAGGTTGTAGGGTGTAATATCACCATGGGCGATGCCAAGGGTAAGGTTGAGGTGGTCAACGGTCGAGGTGAGCTGCTCGAGATGCTTAAGCTTGAAGGGCCTCGAGACGTTGTCCAGAATGGTACCGCCTGGTACAAAGGGAGTTGTAAAGCCGACTACTTTGTCCTGGCCTTCAACTTGGTCGACAACGAGGCTGTCGAAGGGGATGATATTAGGGTGCTTCGGTATACGAAGAAGGCAGTTCGCCTCATCCCATATGATTCCCATGTTACCCTCGTTAATATAGTATTTGAAAGCGACTTGTTTCGGTGCCGTGCCAGCTGCGGGTATGTACTCGCACAGGTCCACCTGGACACCCATCCGATTGAGCTCTACAAGCCGCTCGCGCTTGATTTGCCGCACATGGGCCGGATAGTCTGACGGGGAGGGATAAAAAGGGATCATGGTGGGGTCCTCGTCCAGATCAGCTGCAGAGCTCAGCAGCTCGCCCTGCTCGCCTACCACGATCTGCATGACATTTGAAGGGATCTCGTCAATGTGCTCGGCAAGGGCATCGAAAAAGAACTCCTCATCCTCCTCCTGCCACGCCGTCGCGACAGCAATGTAACGTCGTTGGTCCCAGTCAATAATGATTTTCTCGGTGCCGACTCCATTATACAACCCATCGTAACCCGTCTTACTGAAGCGCTGATCTGGTGTGCAGTCGTCGAAATGGCCCATTGCGAATGCCGATTGAAGAACCCGCTCGGGGGTAAGATGTTCGGGAACGAGAACGATTCTGATGATGAGCAGTATTAAGGCTGCGGTGGTGATGATATTCTTGTAATTAAGGTAGAAGAGAAGACACGCAGATCAATAGAGTTGACAGAGTTCAAATATTTTTAGTGCTTCAATGCTCAAGTGCTGTATCGGGCGGTTAGGGGTGGGTCACAACAGATAACATGTCACCAGTCATCAGATCACGTGGCACTCGGTAATGGTGTAAGACGACCATGGTTTACATCAGGCAACCTCTTGAATCCTCACGTTACCTCCAATATAGAGACTGACATAGGATGTTTACAGAAGTTTACTAAAGTGGATGCGCATATCATTCATAAGTTTATATAAAGCCATTGTAATCCATAAATCGACTTTATCCTTGTAGCTTAGTCCAGCTTGATGATTCTACTCAGTGCTAAGAACAGCAAACAAACACTACGATATTCCAGATGTACATAGACGTGTTCAGAGAAATGGTTGTAAACGCCGAGCTGGTTTTAGCTCGTCTTTAATGGGTCACTTTCCTCCCCCTCACAAAGGGCGTCTCTCACAACCCTCAGTCTGTCCTGCGAACGAGCCTCTAAATTCATTTTAAAGTTCTTCGGCCTGACATTGAACTTGCTAGCATAATCATTCATGGCGGCGTTATCCCCTGGTGTCTTCGATATGCTACAAGCCCAGGTTACTCGGGCCACAAAGATGTTCAGGGATCGTTCGGCGATGTGCTGGCCTGGACAAATACGGCGACCGAAGCCATAAACGGACCAATTATGCATGTTTGGGTAAGTAGTCAGAGGTTCACGGTATGTGGTTGGAAATTCGGGGCTCAGCCAACGCTCAGGCCGGAAGGATTCCGGGTCTGGGTACATTTCTGGATCTCGATGTATAGCCCTACCACGTAAACGTATCGGTCAGCATGGCAACATTCTTGGCGGGAGCGTTTGGACCTACCATTGATTGGCGTGGACAACTGTACCAGCAGGGATAAAGACACCTTTGTATACATCATCTTTGACCAGCTGATGGGCTATACCGGCACCTACGGGCGGTCGCAATCGCAGGGTCTCCTTAATGAACGCTCGAACAGTAGGTAGTCTCGGCATATCATGGAATTCTGGGAGCCTGTTTTCTCCGACCACCCGGTCGACCTCGTCTTGAACAGCCTTGAGCCACTCCGGATAGACCACCAAGGCCCGCATGAGCCAAAGTAAAGCATCTGTGCTTGGGCCACTGCCAGCTTCAAACACGTTCCCCACGATGTACGCCCCTTGGTCCAAGGTCAAGCCAAATTCGTCATGCTTCTCGATGACGGTGCGCTCCCAGCATTGCGGCGCGTTACCCTTGTCCATCTGATGCTTGATGTCGTCGAGGAGCTCACGGAAGAGAGTCAACTCTGCTACATGAAATCGCTCGAGTTCCCGCTTGAAAGGGGCTAGAAACTTGGGAATCCACATCATCCAAGGGAAGATGTCCACGAGATAATTTCCTGTAGTCGCGACGCGCTGAAAGATGTGGACGGTAGTTGACACCCGATCCAGGTAAGTGTTTTCGCCATTTACGGACAGGGTCTTGGCGAAACCGAGCCGGAATAAGAGACCTGACGAGTATCTCTCAATCCACACCTCGTGCTCAGCCGGGGAGCGAATGAGGTCGCACAGCATTCGTGCGGACTCGAGGCACTGCACTGGTTCGTAGCTTGCTGCCGCAGATGGCATAGTCATGTGATGTATAAGTCGACGAGACTTGCGCCATGAATCTGATCACCCCTTTAGTTTGGTAAACCAAGTCCAAAGGCTGCGATGCTCACCACTGTACGGCATCATAACGGGCCGCATGTCTTTACTCAAAAGGAACACTGCCGGGGCTTGCAGCCGACTCGAATATAGGTTTCCCCTGTCTCGGAGAAGATCATTGGCGATCTTGTCGGTCGAGATGAACAAGTTTTCCTGCCCTGCCAGATCCACCCTAAATATAGGACCATAGATTCGTGCCCATTCTGTACACTTCAACCAGAAACAAAACTTAGGAAAACCCAGTAAGTTTCCCACAAGCGGCTTGCCTATTGGGCCTCTGATTCAGATCGACTGTTCTCTGGAAACACGACTCGAGGAGATATGAACATAACACATCCATTCCACGTCTGATAACATACCTGGGGGCCCTGGTGGTAATCTGATACCTTTGGGGGGCTTTGGCTTTCTGCTCAGGCGGCTTAGGAGTGATATGAGCAGGAAAAGCGCGGCAATGGGTAATACAAGTGAGGGCATGGTTTTTGTTTACACCAGTGCCTTGTCAATGATTTAAAGAAACAAAATATCATGAACTTGCAATGGATTCTAGCGACATTTATATATTCTCTTTTCTCTCCGGATAGCTGTTCGGAATCTCAAGTCATATGTGAATACACAATCCATCCAACGCCGATGAACACTCCCCGATGAACACTCCCCGATGAACGCTCGCCGGATACTTGCCGGACTCTCGCCGATGAACACGATACGTTGACAACTGTCATGAGAAGTTCTCTGAAGTGAAAGGTGTTTCCTGTTCAGGAGCATTCTGCGAGTTGAGAGCTTTCTGATTTAGGAAAGTTCTTTTCGGTCAACGGTCTGAGAGGAGATAAGTAAGAGAGACATTACCTATTCCGTCACCTCCACGGACTTGGAATCAGCGCTATGACCCTCAATCTTGTTTCGATCGCACGATTGGCTGAATTCTTGGCGACATCCTCTTAAAAACCGCCCTCACAGTCTTACTTATTCAGGAATGTTCTGCGAATCAGACGCTCTTACTCAATCAGGAAAGTTCTGCGAGTTGAAAGATCTTTCTCATCCAGGTAGATTATTTCAATTGAAATCCAGAATAGGGAGCTTTCGGCGCTGAGAATATGCTCGGCGCATGAAGTTCGGAAAGAAATTGCGTTACTTCATGTTGGTTCAGAGGATATAGACCGTACCCTGTCTAGAGCTAAGGAGTCCTGATCTTTGGCGCCGGTCTCCGATATCGTGTTGATCCGCCACAAGCCTCGAATAAAGACAGGATTTCGGTAACCGAGGGTCTGGCTTGAGTGCTGGTAGACTATGGCTACTGGTGGCCGATACACAGCGAGTCGGAATCGCGAGATGGGTTCTGTTGCCCTATTGGAGACCTGTATACAATACGAACAGGCTGGACAGTGATGCTTTTTAGATCCGTTTCCGCATTCTCCCTTGTCTTATTCTCACGTCATTCTCAAGCAGAGTTACTGTTCCGTTGCTTTTGTCTCGGCGCACTCCGCTCCTTTTTCTATCTATTGGAAATGACCATCACTACACTTCTCTCGTTAAAAAGAAGAGAGATAAAACACGCGTTCTAAGGTATGTGTGTAAAAAGATCCGTTCATTACTAATAGATGTTTTGCCTTGCACGAACGAATAGAAATAGGGGTTAAACCCTTTTGTACATTTTAAGTATTGTCAAATTCATAGAAAGCTAACCAATTTCTGATTAGAATTCTAGTCTCGAAGTCGCGTTCAAGTGAAATGCGCTAGACATTCGTTGTGAACATAAATCCGTCCTTGAGTAATATTACAAGGCCCGACCAAGTTACCTGGCGGAGCTAAATGGAAAAGGCAATGTTCCGCATGATTTACGGCTCTGGACGCAGACGTGATTCCAAGGCTGCTCTTGCAGACCATAGGAACTGTCATGATGAGCGCCTACACGCCCGATGAGAGTGTCATATGCTCAGGAGAGATAAACACTATGGGAAACTGCTAGAGTCGGCACGGAAGGGTGCTCATGCCAGATCTATATGCGTTAAGCTTGTTTGGGCGTCTGTCATCAGGCTTGGCTGTACATTCAACTAGGGCGCTGGTGTAAAGGGCGTCGGAGTACGGCGCGAGAGAAGCCGGGCTGCATCGATGACCCTGAGTGCATGTTCTGTCGAACGCTCTCTCTATTGCTCTAACAGGAGCAGAAGCGCATGCGGGGGCATGGTGCATATACGGGAGGTTTCGAGTGCGATAGGCCGGGCATGTATGCGGACATTTTAGATGTTGTTAAGAGCCTGTGATTCGAGTAAGGAGACGGGTGGGAACTTGGCAGTATTCTCGAATTAGGAGACGGCTGCAGGAAAGCCCAGTGACAGAGGCAGCGGACCAACCATTGAAAAATACGATTAGTACGGGCTTACGCGCCACGCGTCAGATTTCGCACACATCCTTAATCCAGTCTTAGTTAGCGCTTGGACTGCGCCTCTCGCAGCTGATGATGTGAATCCTCCCGCGCGATCAACTTCGGCTCCCTCAAACTCGCCCTCGCCCAAGTCCATACATCTAGCGTCACATTCCTGGCCTTTGGATGTCCGGGAAACTAGCGAGACTGATTTTCCTCCCTCATAGGAGTTAGGGTTATTACGATGACTACCTTCTCAGCTGCGGTACATGCGGCACAATGTCAAGCTATCCAACATCGTGCACTCTCGGCAACCTTGAAAATCGCTGAGAATGTGTCCCAGTGGAATGGCAGCGACTCCCCGTTCACTGAAGTCTCCATGAAGCTAAAGGAGCTAAGTGAAGCGGCATTCGAGCTGGGCAACAAGCTAGGCGAAGCTGGGCAGATTTCTGAGAGGCTCCACAACACACTCACCGATCGACTTGAGAAGTGTGCCTACGCCGAGACGATTGTGGAGAAAGAAACTGGTGCATTTGCGGCTCAACAGTTTCCAGTTGACGAAGTTTTGCTATCAAAGTATGAGCACTGGGCCGGCCTAGAGACCTCGGTAATGAAAGCTTTGGTAGAAGCTATCCAGATGTAAGAAGTGCACACAGAGAGAATGCTCTACTTTATTTTTCATCTCTAACGGGATACAGAAACACCGCAGATGGTCAAGACAAGCTTCTGTGTGGCCGTGGATATCGCGGACTGCTGGAGATGGCAGATGCTGCCTTCCGGGCAGTTATTTCAAGCGACACAGACCCTTTTGGATTGAATGATGAAGAGCCACCGGCTTATGATGAAAATCCACACGAACATGTTTCGGATGTCAAAGGACCAGAACCGCCTGCATCATCCACTGCAAGCCCTTCACCATCAAAGAATACCCGAGAGAGCAAGCTCTCGGAAGTATTCAGAGCTGTGACTGCTCCATTCCGTTATAAGCCCGAGCCTCTTGTCATGGCTCTCTGTGAAGCGTCCTCTAGAGGTGATATTGACACGGTCACGTCACTTATCTCATCTGGGGCGAACATCAACGGACGCAATGATGAGGGCAAGACACCGCTTGTTCAAGCCATCGAGAACCAACAGCCCAACGTGGTCACCAAGTTACTACAGCTCGGAGCGTCGAAAGATGTGAGCGACTCGGCAAAAAAGTTGCCCCCTCTTTTCTGGGCAGCCTCAGCTGGCGACATCCCTATGGCCAAGCTTTTGCTACAGTACGGATGCAGCCCGAACCATAAGAATATTTATGGATGGGCCTATTTCTTGGATATCGTCGATAAGGGTGACTTGGGTATGGTAAAGCTTCTGCTGGATCACGGGGCAGAGGTTAACGCGACTGATCAATATGGTCGGGTCGCATTTCAACACGCCTACTCGAGAAATAACCTCGCGATGCTCAAGCTGCTGCAATCCCGCGGTGGTTCTGTCAACGCGACAGACATAACCGGATGTCCCATTGTCATCCTTGCTTTGCAAGAAAACAAGGATGACATCTTTCATTTCCTACTTGAGCACGGTGCGAACGTCAACTCGACATCCAGCACTGGTACACCCTTGGTTATCGAAGCGTTCACAAGGCAACGTACCAATATCGTAAAGAAATTGCTCGAGCGAGGCGCCGATCCGAACGCAAAAGACCTCGTGGGAACCAGCATGCTTATGAACACCATCAAAGCTCAGACTTTCACCGCGAATGGTCGAGAGGAGTTGATTAAGCTTCTCCTTACCTATGGTGCTACTCCTAACGACTCCGATATGTGGGGCAAGTCAGCCGTTAGTCTCCTTATAGAAAGACAGCACACCAGTCTCCTACCTCTTCTCCTCGAAAAAGGCCTCGACCCGAATAAAGAGCTCGGGAACGGAGAGACCCTGCTCATACACGCAATTGATTGTGGCAACGCGGAGCTAATCAAGAAGCTCCTCCGCCACGGTGCATCCCCAAACGGCTCGAACAAAAAGGGATGCACGCCCTTGGTGCAAGCCGTACAAGCGAGAGACTTTGAAACGGTTAAGCTGCTTGTAGCATCCGGTGCAGACGTGAACGCGATGGGAGTTATCTCACCTCTAGACTTGGCACGCTTACTTAAAGTTAAAGAGACTGAGGACCTGCTGGTAAAGAGTGGTGCAAGATAGAATATCTACGCAATACTAAGTCGTGGCACAAGGGAACCATAAGTAGCGTTTACTATATCTTGATTTCTTTCATCTGCAGACATATTGCGAGCGGATACCTGCGCCTGCTGGAGCCATGAGGATCTACGGTTCCTACTCTCGCTGTGAAGGAAAGCGATTGCCAATCTTAATAGACTAGCATACCCTATACAGCTCCACACTCGCCTCGCCCAACATCGAAGCAGTGATTTCGGATAGACGTTTCTTTAAAAAAGAATTAAACAAAAGACAAAGACATACCAAACGTTTTTGATACGTCCAATCCTTCATTTCTACAAGGACAGAAATGCCCTTACATGCGGCCATTCAATATTATTCTGAATGTTTAGTCAAAGAAAATATCATTCACAAACAAAAGCAACAGTGTCATGATTGCTCCTCCCTTTCCGAATGCCTGGACTGTGTAACAAACTATAAAATCCCCTATCCTTGGGCTCTGATAGGCTTAAAAAGCAACTGCAGTAGTGGAAATTGATATTTGTAAGTATTTACGTGAGACTACTATCTGCACCAGCTCTTCGCAAGGTGCTTTCTCTTTAACTACTAAACACAGTCATGGAGCTCCTCAAATGCACCACTCTTCGCATCGAAGAATTCTTCGGTCCATCAGCCCGCAAACCCCTACGCCAACCTATGTCATCGTTGGGAAGCAGACGAATGTTCTTGCCAAGAAGTTATTAAGCCCCAAGCGATAGCCCAAAAAGCTGGAAGGGCTAAGATCCACTGGGCTTGCCGGGTTGCCCTCTCAAATTTCCAAGAAAGATACTACCACTATCTACACATGGACGATTAGCTATTCGAGAGACGATAAGTGAGACGCTATATTCTTTAGCGGAGCAGTGGAGTATGACTGTCAATGACCAGCCGTGCGAGAGACATGCTGCCAGTTCACGCAGTCTGTTTGATCCCTGCCTTCTCCTCCTCTGTGTTGGATGATATAGCGTAGGCATCCACATGAGTTATGGCGAAGTGTCGGGCAGGAACTTTATTCGAGAAGAGAAGATCCAATTCTTCATATGTACGGCCTTTTACCTCCGGGAGCCTGAAGTAGGACCAAACAAAAACACAGAATGCAGTAGATCCCCAGAAGAAGCCGGTTCGGCCTCGGAGGTTCCATTCGGTTGGGTTCCTAGATCATCGTCAACAAGCGGTTGCATTTGTAATGGCACTCAAATGCCTACATCATGTACGCCTGTAAGACTTGCGAGACGATGTTGGTCAGCTGGTATGCATTGCGCGCCAAAACCACCGATAGGGGACGAAGCCGGACGGAGGAAGTCTCGGAGATGATACTGTACTGTCGGCTCGTCAGCATCTGCAAAGGTTGCTACAGAACTGCCACCTACAGCAATAGGCCCAATTGTTAGGGAGTACACAAAGAGCCAGAAGACACATAAGCCCCCTGATGGCCAGAGACTTTTCTCGCCAGCTGATACATCAAGAATTCCGATGATGATGAGAACTGCACAAAGGACACCCATTCCTACGACGTAAATCGGTCGGCGTCCCCAGTGCGAGATAAGCCACCAAGATCTGCCGAACAAGAAGCCTCAGAATTAGTACAGCCCAGCTGAGTCCTCAAAGTTTTGTCGGAAAGAGATCGGCGTTGCTCTGGACGACTCACAGAACGGTTCCAATAAATGCCATCCCTTTCGCACCCAAGCTTAACTCAAACGCCTTGGCGGTATCCATGCCAGCTGTTGTGAAGAAGTAGGTAGGTGTATAGGCAAAGCTACTCCCGGACAGGATCTGACCCATGAATGCAACCATGACAACTTCGCTGCGGCGCAGGTCGATACCTTTGAAACAATCCACATAACTTGCGCCCTTCGTGACCTCGGACTCGATCTTGGTAGTATGCAGCATCATGGCCAGTTGCGCAGAGATTTGCTCCTCTGTTTTCTGTCCGCTTAGTCGACGGATCGACTTTCGCGCCTCATCTAAGCGGTCCTTTCGGACAAGAAACCATGGAGACTCAGGAGCCAGGTAAGCAACCAGCATCAATGGAGTAGGCCAAAGCCACTGGATCGCGAAGGGAATACGGTACGCCATCTCGCCTTCGATGTTGAGACACCCTCGCAGGACTCCTGCAGCGATGAGCTGGCCGATCACCCAGCAGAGATTGACGTACGTGGTCATGTAGCCACGCAAATTTGTAGGGCAGACCTCTGAGGCGTACGCTGGACTCAGTGTGGCAAACACACCCCATGAGAGACCGCACATGATCTGTCCGACGAGCAACACCTGCGGCCCAGTGGCAAAAAAGGTCAAGAAGATGAAGCAGTTAAGGAAGGCCATAGCGATGATCAATACCCATCGGTATCCGAACTTAGAAGCGAAATAGCCGTTGAGGAGACCTCCGAATATTCCGCCGACGGTGCTGCCCATGTTTAGCCCAGTTTGCCATGGGCCAGACACTTGCCAGCCGATATCACCGCCGTACCAATCCCCAAACTTTTTCTGGAACTCTGGGTACGCGAAGAAATTTCCCATGAGGATGGTGTCGTACCTTCGGCGGTAAATTGTCAGCGAGGAGTGCCCACCCGATATCCTGCCACGTGAGATCACGATATCGTGAGAGACTCACCCTTCCATAACGATCGACAAAGATATCAAGACCGACCAGAGCACTGCTGGGCGGTTTTGGCTGAAGGCCTGACTCAGAGTCTGCGCGTGTTCGTCATTTGTAGCTTGTTTGGCTTCGAAGACAGCGGTATTGCCGAGCTTTTCCTCCAACTCATGGTCGGCCGCCTTCTGTGTGCCGCTTACATACACGTTGCCTGTCATTCTGGCCTGCCACGTTATATCGAATGCTTTATTGCCGATTATGGATGCTAAATCGGGTGACGTCGAGACGGGAATACTCATATCAAACCTGATTGCGGGCATCACCCTGGGGCACCTAACTTCCGCGTCAGCAAGCTGGGGGAATATATATGTTTACATGCACTTTATATTTAGTCACGCCCAGTGTCCTCGCCCGTGTCCCGTCGGGTGTTAGACTAAACAAGAGGGGCACGAGAGGCACATATGATCATTCTTGATCAATCATTCTTTCTCAGTGTTGGGGAAGACCTGGGTAACGAGCGCTCCCCGCACTTCACTGTCTTGGTACCAGTCGTAACTGTCTTGGCCAGGAATCCTTTAGCCGGGGCTGAGACAATTTATCCGCCATTCAAAGATCTTTCTCTGGAGAACAAAAAATTCTACATTCCTGTTGGTAATTACCAATTCAGCATTTTTAACATGATGTGGTATCATGAAAATTTATACATCTCTAATTGCCCTATTGGAAAAGGTGCCACAGGACTTACGAAGAAGAGAAGCAATGTGAAGACCCACATCCTTGCTACATTCCCGCGAGATCAAAGTCTCTCAAACTTCAGAATTGATCCATAAGCTTCGTGGGTGGCTTATATAGATTAGCATGCGAGAATCCGCACCTGGGCACCAGAGCATTTCTGTTAATTTCAATGAACCTCGATTTCCCACGAACATTGTCTCAACTACGCTGCATCTCCATGCCTAATCTCGCAGTAGTCAATGCCCACATGCTGCCGTTATTCCACGAAAATGGTCAATTGCTCATCTGCCCGGCAGAAAACAAAGTTTCAATAAAAACAAGTGCTGTCATGAACATCTTCGAACTACTACCCAACTACACACATCAGGTGGCGTGTCATGAGGAGAGATTTTGTGATAACCACATTGAGCACATCGCCATTTGGGTGACTTGCTGAAGTAATAGGATCGATGGATTTGCACCAGGTGTTGAGTTTTAAATGTCAAAATTGGATCCTAAATTCGGACACGCCGGAAATGAGGCCGCGGTAATTGATTGCAAGAGATGTGGGAGAGAGTTCCCACATATTATGCATAGGGGCAACTCTTTGTGTAGTATGACAGGCACGCTCCAAACTGTGATTTGCTACTTAGACCTAATTTGAGTTTTCTGCCCTAACAAATGCTTATTAACCGGCGTCAACGGGTCCTTGCCCAAAATGGCGTGCATGACATTCCTTATCGCAAGTTCTTCGAAGCCGGCTCGGGTCTCGACGGCACCTCCAGCTGTATGACAAGTCAGACTGACATCTCTCATAGCTAGTAGGCGTGGATTGACGTAGGGCTCGTTGTTGTGCACATCCAAGCCTGCCGCAGTAAGATGACCTGATCCCAATGCATCTGCCAACGCCTCCTCATCCACCAAGTTACCACGGCCGACATTCACCAAACGTGAACCATCTTTCATCCTTGCGAGGCGCGCTGAATCTATGAGAGCTTTGCCACCCTCTGCACCCCCCGGGGCGGATATCACCACGCAGTCCGATACGGCCAGCAGCGCATCAAGATTATGATATCGCTTGGCGCCTACAGCTGCTTCCTGTTCCGCTGGCTTGGGGACAGGGTCGACATATGCAATTTTCATGTCAAAAGCCGCATACGCCTTCTGGGCTATTCGATACCCAATGTTACCGAACCCAACGATACCAAGCAAGTGTCCTTTTGGATTATGTGCCGTTTCGCTATTGTTTCTGTGTGCGTTCATGAACATCTCCGGGTCGCCGCTGCAACCCCCGATGTTCGACCACTGCATTTTGCGAAAAACCGAGATAATATGGTACAGAGCCATGTCAGCAACTGCCTCGGACGATGCTGTTGCTCCATTGCAATAGACAATGCCTGTAATATCATGTCAGGAATTCCGACGGACAATGTAAACCTCGATGTCGCTTCTTACCGGCTTCTGCCAGAACATCAACATCTACCCAATCATATCCAGCACCTGCTGATGCAAACAGTCTCACGGAGGCCGGTAGAAGAGGAATCAACTCGCTATCCCAACGATCCATTTCGCCGCCAGAATTCCAGAAGGGGCGAAGAATGGCTGAGAAATCGCCCCATCTTTTCTCTTTCAAAGCCTGCAGAAATGCCTCCCTTTGCCTCTCTTCAGTTGCCGGCCTGATGACTGTTGCTATCTGCTCCAACTCCTTGTATAAATCTGGGTTGTACCGGATGGGGTCTCCGAGATGGAGAACGATTGGCCGTACGCTGCTCGGCATCTTGAGCTCGGAAACGGCGGGTTGTTGTGTGTTCCCAAGCTGACTGGCTTTCGATTTTTGGCCCGTTCAAGCTGCAATAATGAACATCTTCTGGGTTATCTAGAAAGTCACCGAGCCAGGCGGTATAGCACTAAAATAATTATCGTCGGGACCAGCGACACCGGATCTACCAGAGTGGGGTGGACGTTGTTCGGCCTACCTACCTACGGGCTTGGTGTCATCGGAGACTTGTCCGATCCCCTCATTTTGATGTACACGACCAGGGTTTACCCGACGAGCAGAACGATTGTGCATCTCAGACGGACGAGCATTCAAGGTTGTTCCAATCCCGATCGGATGCAGAAATCCAGTTCTGTGACTGATCATCCCATAACGTGCGGCCGCGACGGGTGAAAGCTACTCCATTAAGCCAGGCTGGCATTCCTGGCAACTCTGGAAACCGAGACTTGTGGTATTGTTGCATGTGTGCTTGACAGGCCAACTCGTCGAAAACGTAACATTTTCCAATTTGTTTGTACCACGTATTGGAAGATGAGAGGAAGATCTCAGCATCCTTGACGTTCTATGCATTGGGTTCTGTCCGGTCCCATTCTCCAAAAGTACGACCCAATCAATATGAAATATAATGGTTTATTTACCTATAGACGGTTTACAGAGAGACCATTTGTATACAGGCCGTAGCTAACTATCCTATATAATACTGGTTAGCACTTATGGCGTATATATCGCTTCTTGCTGATGACTACTGTACAAGGAAGAAAGAGACTTGGTGAGCATCTCAAGGCGCAACTATGTGCCATCCAGGGCTGCCAGGACGACACTATTGTTCATTGCTGACCTTTAAGAACCAGGATGGGCGAACCGATCGGCTCGCCTGTTGCTTCTGATGAACCACGCACGCCACGCTCCAGGGACGACATAATCCCTGCTCGAATTACCCCGGACCCACAACCGCCACGACTCTCTCCGCATATTCGGCTGCGGGGGAGGGACGGAGCTGTGAAGGTCAACATTCTGTTGGGGCACTCAAGTCGGAAGGCACACCGAGGGGACTGGAGCTTGGTATAATATTTAGATCCAGTGCACACGTCCACGTCAACTTCGTCGGGTCAAATTGACGTAGTGCTTATCTCCTGCTTTCATGAGGCTGTTCTGGCTTTCTCTCACAAGAATGCCTGCATCTAGAGGAAACGATGCCCAGGCAAAGGACCTCCATGTCGAGATGCTTGAAGACCCAATCAAATCGAGTCAATCCGACTATGCCGATATCGAGGACCGAGGGTTGAAGGAGCGCCGATTAGTACGCAATATCGATATTCGAATGTCAGTTATAAATATTATATATGACAAAGTGCAAGTCCAACTGCTAACATTGAGATAGGATGCCCTTAATGATGATTCTCTATAAGTCTCGCCAGACTTTAACCTTGTGGATTTTCGCAGGTACTGACAATTTTGAGCACATGTTCTGAACTACTTGGACCGTAACAATGTGTGTGGCACTTCCCTTGATGTTCTCGAAGGGTTAGGAGCACTACTTACCATTGCCATCTTTTATTCAGATCGCAACAGCCAGATTAGGCAGTTTCGAAAAAGATCTTGGCTTGATCGGCACACAATATAACACGATAATTAGTGTGTTCTTCGTCGGCTACATTCTCACCCAAGTTCCGACAAACATGATCTTAAACAAGATGCGCCCAAGCATTTTTCTTCCAGCTGTCATGTGTTGTTGGGCTGTAGTTAGTGCCTCAACCGGCGCTGTTCAAAACTACACTGGCGCGGTCATCCTTCGATTTCTTCTTGGATTTGTTGAAGCCCCATTCTTCCGTAAGACATATTCATCATGAGACAACCGACACATATACATATTAACAGATGACCAGCTGGAGCGCTTTACCTCTTCAGTTCATGGTATACTAAGAAAGAACTGGCTGTGCGTATCTCAGTTCTATACGCCGCAGGCCAAATGGCTGGTGCATTTGGAGGGTTACTAGGCAGCGCTATAATGGGCGGCATGGACGGCAAGCTCGGCTTACGAGACTGGAGATGGCTCTGTGAGTTTCACTGTAAGGACAATTTGTTTCCGAAAGGTCAATAGTAACACAAATATTACAGTTATCATTGAAGGCGTCATCCCTATCCCGGTCGCCTTCTTCACATACCTCGTTCTTCCCGACTATCCCGCGACCACCAAGTGGCTCTGTGATGAAGAGAGGGAGCTCGCTACTCTGCGAATCACCGAAGAGGCAGTCGATGAAGATAACCGAAGCGAAGCAACAGCATGGCAGGGCCTCAAGATGACCTTCACTGATCCAGCGCTGTACATGATATGGCTCATGCAACTTGGCCTCAACACGGCGGCATCCTTCACCAACTTCTTCCCCACCATTGTTGCAACGCTTGGTTACAACCAGCACAACACTCTTCTCCTATCGGCTCCGCCGTATGTCTTTGCCGCCATCCTCGGCATCATCAACTCCTGGCATAGCGATAAACACCGTGAACGATGGCTCCATATTGTTTGGCCGCAAGTGTTTTGTAGTGTTGGTTTCATCATTTCCGCTACGACGCTCAACGTCGCTGCTCGTTACACAGCAACTTTCATGATGATGAGCGTTTATGGATCATTTGGCTGCATTCTTTCTTGGGTCTCAACAAGTCTTCCTCGACCGGCGACCAAGCGAGCCATATCATACGCTGTAATCAATGCTGGCTCCAACTTTGCTTCGATTTACGCCAGCTACTTTTACCCAAAATCCCACGGCCCGCAGTATTGGCAAGCCAACATTCTCAATGTGGCCTTCTCAGCCATGTGTATCCTTCTTGCCACAACTCTTCACTTCTATCTAAGGTGGCGCAACAGTCAGCTTCGCAAGGAAGGAGACGCGGACCTGCTGGCAGAAGCTACACGCGAGGGATCACGGACAAAGGCATTGGGCGAGCGATGGCAATGTCACCCTGCGTATCAATACACTCTTTAGAGTGTTTTACTTGCTGACGCTCGGAAGTATTGGATCTCTTGGTATGCCGCGACTGAAAAGGTTATGGCCCACATAAAAATAAGAGTTTATTGGTCTCCTTCCCAGGGCTCTCTTCTGTGAAATCCTTGGAAGTTGGCACTCGGCAATATATTACATTCTTCTAGAACCAAGCTAATCTTTTCATTATCAGTGACACCCATCAAGTGATCCGGAACCTCCCGCAGAATACTCCAAGTCATTCTTAATATACGTGCAATGAAGATTTTGATGTGTTAGGGAGGGTGTGCACTCGTGTGCCGTGTCAGGGAATGCAGAGTCTTGTCGTAACCCTTAGGAGAACATCCTGGTGACAGCTAGTCATTTACATTTCGCAAAAGTTCGAGAAGCTAAGCCTGATGCAGGGTATTTCTAAAGAAAACAAAGGCAAAGGAAAAAAACAGCCAGGCCATTAGCTTCTGCATTCGAGTGCTATTCCAGTTCTTGTACAACCTAGTAAAGTTGAGGGCGGTAGAATGTAACCATCTTTGCGAACAGCTGACTTCATCTTTTTTCTGCCATGACCAACTGCGTTCCAGTTTCCAGGATAAGACTTCCTGTATTACTCAAGTAGCCGAAATTAGACCCTCGCCATTGCGGTATCTCGTTCTTCATTGCAGAAGATCGAACACCAGCATGGATCACTGCCAAGAACGATAAAGGTAATGACAAGAGTAGAGGTATGATCAGGGGTATCTGGAAAACATTGATAGCTGTGCAAAATAGTAGGGGTCATACTTTTCTCTGCTTTTCGCTTTCCTAGCTTGCGCCAATCCTCTGGAAACTCCGAAAGCTTCTGGCTGAGGCCGAGTCGGCTTTCCGGGAATTCTTATTTTGTCGACGTGGAGCTTCAACAGCACCAGTGTGTATCTTGCAATGTTCATATATATCACACCTAATACCCATTTTGAGAAGCACTGGTTTTAAGAAAGAAACCGTCTAAAATGTCTATGAAACGACCTTCAATCCTGAATTACCAACTATCTAGTTCGGATACTAACAGTGTAGCCAAGAAGTCCTCGAGTACAGCGGAAGTCAGGCAGGGACGAGGCGGAGCATTCTTTGCCAAGTAGTTCGATTGCTTTGTTTCTTTGCCGCTTATTTTCAGGCAGAGACCCCCTAGACCCTCTAGTCTGCAGCACGATGCCTCCTTACTCATCACTGTGGTGTAAACTGCTATCGCAACGTCGACAATGTTTTTCCGTAGGTACGTACAGGTACATACTTGTACGTACCCTTTCAAGCAGCTGACCAGTCCACGCACGAGGATTTAGAACCGACCAATCCCCATATGGAGACTTGAGAATGCGGTAGGAGTAGTAGATTTGAGATCTGGAGACAGACTTGCCTCGCTTAATGGACATGTTGTGGCTTGTGATGATAGTCGCGGTTTTACTTGCTTGCCACATGCCTCTTGAAGTCGAGCCTCGGCTGGAGAGTGTGTTTGCCTCCCGTCACCGGATCGACCCTGCTACTAGTTAATCGGCGTCCGATGGCACGGGAGCTACTAAGGAGCAAGCTAGTAAGAGGAAGCATTAGTCCTGACATAGGAACCAATACACTGTGTGCTGCAGCCGCTTAATTCTCTTAATAGCAGTAATATAGACCCCGGCTCTGCAAGAGTACCTAGAATGTTAGGCCTGATCTCAGTTGTACAGAAAATATTCAAGTCTTGAAAATTAGGCAATAACAGTTTTAACAAGAAAACTACTCAGTTGAAAATTCGAGATATTTAATTAAAGATAATAAAGACAACTTATTCTATATTAATTTTTATATTCAACTGCAACTGATAAATGGTTAAATGTTGAACTATATCCCGCCTCAATCATAGTCTCGCGCGGACAATGCAGAGCACTCACCAGACGGAAGGAGAGAAAAGTAAGGTTTCCTCACTTGTATCCATTTTCGCCCAAGTTGTTGCGACCTTCCGGTTCCACCTGCATGCGTCCGGATAGGTATCTTAGATTCCGCTGAGGGTGGGGCAGTATTTGTCAACCTTGACTCGCAACCACTTGCGATCACCTAATGCAGGCTCCTCGCTGGCGAAAGTGCAGCAGGTTTTCGGGAATACTCGCTGCGCTATACGCAATGATCCCTGCTCAAGAGCAGGGGATAGTGTATCCTTCCAAAATGGGTAATCAAGTCGCGGAGATATTTCCCATGACATGCCAATGTGGGCTCATGAGCCGGAGGCTTGCCCTTGATAATTAAGACAGCAGAGTTCTCGTCGGCAGCGTGCCGAGGAAGAGACTTGATCTCGTCGTCTTCGCTTGCGCTTCTCATCATGTTCGAAAGGCTCTCCTTTGTGGGTGCTCTGCTGGCACTTTGGTCAAACAATGTGCTAGCTGATTCATTAACCTGTAGTCAGATACAATCTACTACCAATATCCTGTCACTCGTGAGTCCGCAGCTAGAGTACACTGAGGCACAAAATAACTACTGGTAAGACATTCGACCTGTGCTAGCCCAGCCTTTTCTCATTGAAAGAATAGCACATGTCCTGACAATCGATAGGTCTACAAGTTGCGGTGCTTTGAAGCCAGCATGCATCCTGGTTCCTTCCTCGATCGATGAGCTGTCGACCGTCGTCAAGGTCTTGAACAGCAATAATGAGACTTTTGCGATCAAATCTGGCGGCCATAATCCCAACAATGACTTCGCCAGCGTCGAAGGTGGGCCGCTCATCTTGATGAGTGGCTTCAAAGAAGTCACGTACGACCAGGCCAGCAACACTGTCAGAATCGGACCGGGACAGAGATGGGAGGACGTGATGGGCGCCCTCGATGGCACAGGTGTCACTGTTGTTGGTGGCCGTATTGGTGAGGTTGGTGTGGGTGGATTACTGCTAGGAGGTAATGGAGTTCGCCCCCACAGTTATGGCCCATCGTCATTTCTAGTTGTCAGCGCTAACGCAAAGTCTTAGGAGGTCTCAGCTTTCTCAGCACACAATACGGATGGGCGGTGAACAACATTCTTGAAGTGAACCTGGTGCTCCCAAATGGAACAATCACCACCGCCTCTAATACTTCGAACCCAGAAATCCTCGCCGCATTGAAAGGTGGAGGCAGCAATTTTGGTATCGTGGCGTCTTATGTTCTACAAGCGTATCCCATTGGACAGGTCAGCATATCCCTCTCTTATGATCTTATCCATGCTCCTGGATACTGACTGATCAAGCATGTAGGTATGGGGCGGGAATCTTATCTTCTCTGATGGTCAACACACGGATCACATATTGTCGGCGGTCCGTAACTTCACAGAGAACTACGACGATCCCAAGGCCGGAATCATTGTCACTTCTGAATTGACCCTGTCCAACCTGGCCAACATATGGGTTCTCTTCCTCTTTTACGATGGACCAGAGCCCCCGGCAGGCGTGTTCGACGAATTCCTCAATCTCAACGCGTCGATCAACTCATGCAAGACCAGGACATACGCCGACTTCCTGAGCGCCAATAATTGGGCTGTGCTACACGGCAGTGTGTATACGATCGCCACCGAGACGACGCCTCTGCCGCCTGCAGGCAGAGAGGATATGATGAAAACCTACTACGACCACTGGTACAACACATCTGCAGCCGCATCGAGCGTGACAGGCCTGATTGCTTCGATAGCCTTCCAGCCGATGCCCAAGTCGCTCACAGCCATTGCCAAGAATAAAGGTGGCGACCTCATGGCGTTGGACGATGCCGCTGATAGAATTATTTTCGAATTCGATTACTCATACTGGCTCCCTCTAGACAACGCCAAAGTCGACCAGACTATGGTGTCGTTATATTCGGGTATGAAGGACATCGTAGACGGATTCGTGGCGGATGGTTCCCTTCCTGATGTCTACCGGCCGCTGTTCATGAATGATGCCTATTTCAGGCAAGACTATTGGGGACGGCTGAACCCCTCGACGAAGGAATTTGCCGAGCGCATAAGGTCAAGTGTGGATCCTAACGGTCTGTTTCAGACCAGAACAGGAGGATTCAAAATGTAATGAATTATGGCCTGCCAAGAAACAATGAGCTCGAGAAAATGAACACTGTCCTCGAACCCAGCTTGATATCGTGCATGTTTCGAACTACATCAAATGAGCCCCCTTGCTCGCTCCTACGAACCCCTAAAAAAGTCTGAGACCACTTCAAGGCTGAATCTGACTGTTCTCATGGCAGCGTAAGAAGCTTCTGTCTACACGCACTATAACGCATCTTTGGGCTTCAGATATCCAGCAGACCAGGTCCCCTGGTCCTGTTGAAGCAGGCGCAACACCGAGTTCCTAAATGGGCAGCCCAGATCTAGATCACTGCTCTGAAAGCCGTGATGAAAAGAATGAAGAGGGCGATGGATGGTCAGGAATGATTTGCCATTTGCGGAGAAAAGTCTCACATTGATGCAATGCTGCCTGAGGTTGATAAAGGAGTGCACCACCTTGGACGGCGCACCAAAAATTGTGTGCGCCTCGCCCAGGGTTCATTAGTTCACAAAACCGCCAGGATAACTGACGGATGTGTTGTCCGCTGTGCTAATTAGATTCCCAATTTACAGTATGCGAATCCAAACTGCCAAAACGGCTACGGAGGTGCCGTCGATTAGGAGAATATGATTACTTGCACGTCACAACCTTTTTGGAAAGTTGACAATCCTGTAATATGTATCAAACAATGTTCTACTCCTAGTAACACAATTATGACACCACATGATAACCTCTAATACGTCTTCCGCTTAGTTTTAGTTCACCGCTCTTGGCTTGAATATGGAGAATCAACTTCGGAAAATCACCACGAAACACATCTCGATTCCAAATGTACAGCGATCCCGCACATGGTCCTCTGCATCTCAATGACCCCGCCTCTTCACATGTGCCGTATTCCAATTGGACGATTTTTGGGTAACTGGTCAGCATGGCGGGCTGTGCATGTTGTGGAACGTTCTCCGTTGAATATTCTGCGAGTTCAAGAGGATCATAGCCCCTAGAGTCACTCTCTCAACATGTTCCTAGACGATACCTCTTTTGGGCCCCCGTTCATGTTCTTAGAGATGGCGGGTCTCAACTTATCGGCGCTGACTGCTCGGAACGAAAATTCACTGGCAAATCTGAACTTCGACTTCTCCCTAGTAAAGCTAGAAGCTCCAACAGAGTTTCGAGGCCTGGGAAATTCGTTATCGCTTTGGCGCCGCACAGTCGCCGAAACCGGTGAAGCCCATCGAACAGCACGCAAACTGGGGGCATTATTTGAGCAGATCGCGACTATCCCCGACAGCCTCTATGCGGCATATGGACTTCGGGTTTCCGAGATTTCGGCTTCGGAAACCATCAATCCGCAGAACAGACACCGGTATGGTCTCTTTGAAGGCCATGTTGGAGCAGATGCTACGACGATCTGGGCGGCGGCTACTGCAGGCAAGTCAGCTATGGCTATCAACCTTTTGGCTTGCATGTTGGCGCGTTTATGGAGTGCATCCCAAGCAACTTCAATCTGGTCTGAGCTAGTGGAAAACCGGAAGAAACAAATCAACGCCGAATGTGACGGCAGCGAGTCCACCCATATTGCTCAGCTTCTCGCAGCTCAGCAAGAAGTCACGCGGAAAGAGTTGGCTGAATGGGACTCAAGTTCTCGAGCTTGGATCTCTCTTGCAGACAGAGTCAAGAAGACTGAGCATCAGGATTTAGAAGATATTCTTCAGAGCCTGAGCCTCCCTGTGGATACGAGTGTCGACACATATACTAGCGTCATACGGGCTTGGAACATCGCGATGTCAACTATAGACAGCTTGATTCGAGGCATGCCACATTCCGTAAACGGAGCAGTACTTGTCGCTATTTCTGCATGGCACATTTATCCTGACATCGACTTATTCGGCAATCACAACAAGTCATTTACCTTCAATGATTGTCTAGTCCAGCGAGGTGGTTGTTTGACTATTGGTCTCGAGGACCGATCACCTGCGAATACTTGCGGTGTTTACTGGTCCCTTTCTTTGGCTCGCCTGAGATATTATGGCGCCCCGATGGCCCTGACCGCCCGCTCCGTGGACGAGTCCAAGGTGATGTTTGAGGAATTCGCCTTGGTAATTTTTGGCACTCTTCTTAGGTCTTGGGCTGGTGATAGCTTCAACCCCAACTTCGAGATCCGCGAGGCAGCACAGCTCATTGTGATTATATGGGAAATGTTGGAAAACGCAGCACCAATTAGTGAAACGTGCCGGGAATTGATGCTTTTGCGGGGCAACTGGATGCACATATTGGTATCTGCAGCACGGACTTTAGCCGATGCGGACAGTAAAAGTTGGCAAAGAGCAAAGAGGTTGGTATTTTTGGGTATCCGAAGAGGCGTCAGCGCTCTTCCAGCAACCCAAGAAATGCCACCTTTCTTTGGGATGCTGGACCCTTCGACCTTAACATCAATGCTCAAGGAGTCGGATTCCGTGAGAATCAGATTCTTGAGAGGCTTGGCAAAGAGTAGGAAATTGAAAGGGGATGAAACAGTCATTGGCTACAGGAGCAGAGACACTGGGTTATTGGAATTTGCAACGGCTGTGGCCAGTGACAGACAAAGCATGAAGCGGAGTAATGACGGCAGCCACTCAATCTCAAGTGGTCATACTCGATGGATCAGAGGTCTGGAAACTTTGGAAAGAAGCGATGTTGTTTGCGACTGTGAATCTGAGTTCGAGGTTGAGGTCGAAACAACCGATAGAGATTCTGACGGTGAGCCTGTGGTGGATGATGACACTGGGAAGTCAAAAAAGAAACGGCTGAAAAAACGAGAAAAGAGAAAGGCGACGGAGCACAAAGATTGTGCCACGACCTGTCCGGTCTCAGTGCAGTACAAAAAGATTGCGCAGCAAATTGAACGGAGAAAGTCAATCGAGTCCAACGGCGAAGTGTGCTTGGAGTACGATCCGAAGGACATTCATTTGAAAGATCAGCTGCTATCCTGGTTCAATCCTCCGGCCGGTATCGATGGCGGTGGACTAATGGCGAACGACTACAACTCAACGAGCGGAAATTCTCCAGAGGTTGACAGGCACGCAACCCCAGAGCCATCTCAAGGATTAGATCGCAGCGTTGGTCAAGTCGACCTAGACTGGGAGCACACAATACTGGAGCTCGACCGGTGGACAGACCATAGAACTCGGCAATTTCGCTGCTTAGTCGGCAGAGTCGAAGAGGCTGCTCTGCTGGTTCGCCAGGAAGACTGTAATTATGACGATGTTACAGTGAAATGCGCGCAACTTCCTTTGCCTGAGGTCCAGAGCGTGGTACTCACAGGTGCCCTCGATGCTGATAAAGTGCTCAATCGCTTGCTCCAGCTTCTATCGAAACGTGGGCATGAGCAAAAAGAAAATCAGGCTGGACTTTCAAACTTCCTTCGGGCTTTCAAAATCCTTGGATCCGCCTCGCAGGTTTACAAGCTACTGCCCGGAGCACAGGTTGCGTTGCGGCTTCTGGAACGCGATCTTCCGAAAATGGGCTGGACGCGGAACCTGCCGTTCTTCGACGAGAAGACTGTAGCTGGTGTCTTTTCTTCATTCAAGTTCAATAGATCCCAAGCTCTTGCCTGCATAGCGACTTTCGAGACCGGCTCCTTGGATATCGAGGAAATGGAGTTACGAAATGTTTTCGCCGTTTCAGTCGGGAACTCCATCTACGCCCCATCCGCACTCTTCAACGACCCCTACGATGTCTGTGAAGACTTTGAGCTTATGAGAATTGTTGGAAACGTGGGAAAACCCGGTTTGACTATGATGATACCGCCATCCGACCCGCGAATATTGCAGCCGGAATATGAGAAATGGCAAGTCATCAATCATGAGCCATTTGACGCAACCTGTCAAGACCACTTCGGCAAGACGAGCTTGCACCTTTCATTCTCGGGATATCAGCAGCCTGTGGCAAGCACCGTAAAACACGGGGCGCAAGATATTGAAGCCCAATACCTTGAGACTCTGGTGTCGGTCTACGACGGCAAACGATGGGTAGCTGACCTTGACATCCTCGCTGCCTTAGACAACTCCCAGGTCGAGCGTTTCGGATTGCCCAATGTTTGCCACCACGATAAGGGGATCGCCATAAATCCAAAATGGATTTCCGTGGATTGCTGGGACGAACTCATCGACATGGTTCAGGAGGTCAACATCGTGAGGGCTCACGGGAACTTTTTGGCAAGGCTTGCTGCGGTCACTGTCGTCATCCAGATAGGGCACGCAAGATGCTTAGTGCTTCCCACTCACGCGGAATGCTACGAATGCGTCGAATCTATCCTCAACAGCGAGAACATACAATTGGGCGAGGAGGTGTCGTGCCCGGAAGGGAAAGACATCAAAATTCTAATCTGCTGATCGCTTACCAGTGCTCGTCAAAAGCAATTGCTCCTGAGACAGCGTCAACTACACAGACGGGTGTGAAACACAAGGGGCTCCACGCGCTGGCTGGACATCTGGCCAGAAGTGAATTTTCAAAGCCGCTTGGCTGAATTGTGATATGGAAACGAACAATCTGGTGAAGCTGAAATAATCCGAGTCAAGTGACGAGGTATTCACGTTCATTGATACTTACTTGCTTGCTGATATATTTCGTCCCTTTCAATATACTACACATGCATATGTGAACAACTCATGTAGGCAAAGGCTGGCTCGGAGTTTTAGATATCGAATATATTACTGTTTACTATCACAGTATAATTTGTTTCAGGCTGGATTGTTTCCACAAATATTAAGTAACTGACCTGAGCATTACAAAATGTATTTCATCTTCACCATCCTCGTTTGGTAATCTTCGTCGTCGGCAATCATACTGTAGGTGGTCTACATATAGCAAAAGCACGTTGGCCACACCCTAGCCTTGCTTTCCTATAGCATCAGTCTCTGTGCCTTGTAAGAGAGCTGAAAAGGGGAAACGGAAGTGGAAGGTTACCCCGGGAAGGTGAGACAGGGAAGACACCACAGCGGGGAAGGCCTTCCTATCCGATTCCTCTGCCCTTTGCTAGCGTACCTCGGTAATTTGATCTCTACTTAGAGGAATCCGGGGTCTGGGGATGCGGGGAAGGCTGCCACTTATTCAAAAGCGAACAGTTTCGCGTCTCAGGCGTAAGCTCAAGCAAGCCATAGACTACAATGTCATCATGCAGAATGCTTCTAGGTGACCAAAAATCATCATGAACGTGATTATAACGCGTTCTAGGAATTAGACAGAGTTGCTGCTTGAATGTGATCATCTGCAGCAAGGTTTGAACTCATGCCTGGATGCGTATCAAATCGAATGCGGTATTGCTCTTGATGCTCTGTGCGCAGGACAGTCGTAGAGTTCTATTCCATAAGAAAATGAAGATGCTTCATGTCGTATTCTTCTTATACACATACAAAAACAGATGCACTATCCCCATAGAACGGACAATTTCCGAACCCATCTTTTGCCATCCGTTGTGTTGTCCTGGTCTAGCTTCATCTCTTCCATCCTCGTCCACTCTGCACTATCACCCTCGACTTCCGCTACACCACTTCTCAAATCGATCGAATGAGCATCGTAGATCCAAGGTTCATTCCTTGCTGCAATCATCTTGTGGCCGAACCAGAGGATAAGGAAGATTGGGATGCCAAGGTATGTCGTCAAGAATCCGCTCGCGGTGAACTGCCCCGGGTAAAAGACCGTAAAGCCGTTGCAAAGGAGGAGGACAATGAAAATGGGTAGACAGATGTAAGCAGCATATGGCTGGAATCGTGAGCGGTACGGGACAGTGACTCCTTGAGTGAGACATCCTTTGCGAAACCGCAGAAAGATAACACAGCAGACAGCCCAAGAAGTAAAGCCGGCAGTGTTTGTAAGACTGATAAACCAGTTGAAGACCTCGCCAGCTTGGGAACTGCAGTTGAGATAGGCTAGGAATGCAAACAGACTGCTGGCAAGAACAGCATATATGGGCAATCCATTTTGCAGGCATCGAGTGAAAATCTTCGGTGCGTTCCCAGAGACTGCGAGGGAGTATAAAGAACGACTTGACATGTAAAGATAGGAATTGCCTGCAGACCAGGCACTGATGAGGATGCCCCCATTGATAATGGATGGTAAGGCCGTGATGCCAGCGTTTCTGATGGCGATAACCCATGGTGACGCATTCGCATCGCCAGTGCCGGATGTCAGAGTCGGGTCTTCCGAGTTGCATATGGCTCCAATAGCCAAAGCTCCCAAGGCATAGAAGACGACAAGTCGGTAGAAAAATCTTCGAGCTGCAGTTGGGAGGTTTTTGCGTGGATTGATCATTTCGCCGGAGGTATAAACAATCAACTCAGGTCCAAAGTAAAAGGAGAAGCCAGAGAAGACCCAGACGTAAAGAAAGGCTGTAAACTGTCCACCAGTACCCTCGACAATATAAGCCTTGACTGCACCGGGATCGTTCCAGTACTGGAAACCGAGACGATGGTGATCAGGCCCTCCGCCGACCATGAGGATAAATGCAAGAATAAGCAAGCCGATTATCATGATGACCTTGACTCCTGCGAACCAGAATTCTGTCTCGGCAAAGACACCGACAGGACAGAGATTGAGGGCGATGATGACAAACAGCATAACTGTGATCCAAACTGCTATGTGTATCGTGCTTGGCCAGAAGTTGATGACGATACTGGCAGCGGTGATCTCATAGGCGACTAGGATACCAAAGGAATAGAAGTACAGCCAGCCCAAGGCGAAACCGAGAGACGAAGAGACATATCGGTTGCAATAGTATGCCATTGAGGCTCCTGAGAGTGGTAGATAGGTCGCGACTTCCACGACCGCTGTGACGACGCCGTACACAAGTAGCGATGTGAGACAGTAACAAACGAATAGGAACGCAGGTCCACCGATTGCGAGAGCTTGTCCTGAGCCGACAAAGAGACCTGTCCCGATAGTGCCTCCAATAGCGATCATTTGAGCATGTCGAGATTTGATTTTTCGTCTTGTGCCGGCATGTTCATGCACAATAAACTGCTGACCAACGCCGCATGTCTCGACTTTGGTCAAGTCAGGTTCTTGTGCCTTGTTGTCGGCAGATTTCTCCTCATCTAGAACCATGTTTGAGTTGAAGGCAGCCATGTCGCGGCAAATGTGACAAAATGTTGCGACAAAATGGAATCTCTGAGCTGCAAAAATAAAAAGCAAAAGAGGAGTGATCAAAGTTTGTGAGAAACTTAGCTACATCAGTCAGGACATCAGACCACCACTTAAGTAAATCTACATCGGTGGTCACGGTATCAGGGGCCAATTTCGGAAGGACAGAGGACCACATTATCCCGAACGATTGGGAAGATTGTCACTGATCATTGGCACGGTCTTAAAGACAACGAGGGATGTAGTGTCCGAGAACCCAGGCCCAAGGTTGGCATTGATAAGACGGCAGCAAGCCCGATAGCCAAGCCGCCCCAATGTCACAAAGTTCAAGTAGACCCACCCCTACCGATAGCATTTAGCTGATCCTTAGCCAGAGTTTTAGGAAAGTGTTACCGATCTCCCCTGCACGGCCGGCGTGATGATGCAGGTGTATCTTATCAATTGCTAGATATACACTCCTAGACCTCTGAGGTCACACACTTTGAGCGTCCCACGTCTTTTGTATATCTCCCTCCCTTTTAGCGAGAAGCTGCTTGCGTGTACTATGCTCCACAATTCTACCATTATGAAAAACAAAAACAATATCAACGTGCCTGATAGTCGACAGTCGGTGGACCACGGCGATCGTCATTCCATTCTTTGAGAAGCGGCTTGATTGAGGGCCTCTTCGACAATTCTCTCGGGTTGAGTATCCAATGCGCTCGTAGCCTCATCAAAAAGGAGCCGCGGCCTGCTGATCAACGCCCAGCGATCGCGATCCGCTGGCGCTAGCTGCCAGAAAGCTGGGCTCCGTTGGTAGTTGTTCGGTCCACCAGGCAATCAAAGAAATTGAATAATACCCGATGCCTATTCATGGGTAGAGATATGGATCCCTTGGCCTTGCAGCATCTTTCTCAACGTCCTCTCTGGGAGTGCCCTGCCAACTGGGGAGATGTGATATTGTCCTCGTCATCACGCTCATACCCGATACCTTCGAATACTCCCGGTATATCTTTCCGGGACTGCTGCCCTCATCTACCTCTCCTCTGTAAACAATGGTTCCATGACTTCCGTTCTGTGCGGGAGTGACGACTCGGTACAGCGGCTGCGTCTCTACGACGTCGTTACTTGGCGGCGCATCCGTGTTGAGACGTCGTTTCCAGAAAGAGTAGAAGGCCTCAACGGCCTTGGTTATGTCCACTACTGTGAAAGCCATGAGGATGAATAGCACCGAGATGGCCAGGCCCCCACCGAAGATCCAAGTTGCCACATAGGCATCAGGCAGACTGTCGCCAAAACTGTCCATGCTTATACCGAAGTACGAGGCGATGAAGGACATGGGCATGAATATGATAGTCACGATGGTGAACACCATGACGGTTTGGCCCTCCTTTGCAGCAGTAAGAGCCTGCTCGCTGGAAAATCGGGCTTCTAGGGCGTTGGAGTGTTTCTGTTTCAGATCGAGGAGATCTGTTAGACTCTTGTAGAGTCTTTCGGACTGCTCATCCATGGCGTCAATGTCACGCTTATGAACTTTGAGCCGCCGCTCTTGGTCCAGCGTCCGCTTGCGAATGTCCGTGACAAAGCTCATGACCCTTTTATTAGAGCCGTAACGGTCATTGCTGAGCTCGTCAATCAGGCAGTTTCTGAAATCTCCAAGTGTAAATAGCTGCGAGTTCATGACCATAGTCAGGATGTTTAGCTCATCGCGGACTGCAATACTCGGAGTTAGTTATCAGAAGAGTCTAGAAACAAGCCAACATAGAGCATGAGAGCGTCGGGCCCACTCCTCATCCGTGCTCCGTTCGAGGTGTATTCCCATGAATGAAAAGGAAGCTCCAATCTGTGGAGAAGCAAACGACAATTTCGGAGTTGATGGGGTTTTGAGGTGGTGGTCATCTTTTCGATGCTACTTACTGTCCCTGACCTCCGTAAGTAGTGAGGTTTCTGCCCTGATGTCCAACAATGGATCGAAAGATTCATCTCCTTCCTTTGAGCGCTTGAGAATTTGATGCCGTCGCTTCGGACGCAGCCATTGACGAGATTGCGTGGATGCTTCTTCGAAATGGTGGAACAGCTGTGTCAGCTCCTCGGTCACGCGACCTACGGAACTCTCAAACATATCGAGAAACTGATAATTTTGATCATCAGATCGGTGTCGCGAAAACACTGCAACGATGCAAGTCGGTTAGTATTACAGTTCTACAGACACCTCAAAGGCAGCCAATAAACACAGCAAATGCTGCTTATTCAGGAATCACGGTGCGAGATATTCAAAAGGTGAAAAGTTCGAATACTTGCTTCCAGAACAGCGAGATGAAATCAAAATGGCCAGGTCATAGGCTGAGCGAATTGCTGGGCGGGTCTTAGCATTCATCTCTTCCATGATACCATCTAACACGTTCAGAGGGTCTCTTTGCTGATGCTCCCAACGTCCAGGGAAGCAGGTTACGACGAGATCTGGGAGCGTAAGTCTGTGTCCTATCAAGTTATGGGAGCATACAAACCTTTTCCTAATATGAACAACCAAAGTTGGTCGACCATAAAGATTTTCCGTTGTTGTCCTGCAAGACGTTAGGGTCCTTAGGTTCCTTGGTGCTAGGAGAGATGGATCACGGAAAAGTGTGAAGATGGCTATGACACGCAGCACTCTGCAAATAGATTTACTCACCTTGATTTTCACAATATCGATAAACCACCTGGTCCCTGTCTCTAGCGCTTGTATCCAAACCATGGTAGAAGAATTGGTCTAATGTTCTTCGCGGATGAATCTTTGTTTTGCCGCGTAAGTAAGCCTGAAGTAGCAACATATTGGGCGAGGAAGAGGACGATGATGCTTCATCGGCGACCCCAACAAGCTTCAATGCGTCAGTCATTTTCTGCCTCCCTTCATCGGTCTCGTAGTGAAGATATGGCATCTACGCATAGATTGGATTAGTAGTAGATTGGTATGGGAAACTCAAGGTACTTGCAAACAAAACTATCTTTCCATCTCCCCCGGGAACTCTTTGGGTGATGGTCATTTGCGATAAGTTGCTCTCACTGCGGCGGACTGGAGATGGGCGAATATCGAGCAGGTCAGGTTCAAGGCTGGGCTCTTCGCTAGGGTTCAAGGACGAGATGCGTTGGCAGTAAGGCCTCATGAAATTCGCATGTGGTAGAGGCCCACGGTGTTCTTGCTCGAAACATTTCGTTAAGGCCTTGTAACCTTCGAGATCCCGACAACCGGACTCTGTAAACCATTTGATCAAGAGTGTCTCGACCCACGCTATCTGTAGACCATGAATCAGTTTTCCAGTTGACAGAGTACTCGTTGGTTGAGACAGGAGGCACGGTATCGTACATTATTTGTAGGAAGGTGTATCCATTTAAAGTCGTTCTGGGCACCAGCGGTGCCCGTCCAAGTTGGAACTTTAGGTCTGCCGTTCTTTTGGTTCCATCCGTACAGAACGTCATAAACTGAATGCTTGAACTTCCGTTGTTTCTCGCCGAACTCCTTGAACTCGACCACGGTCGCTGTAAATGCTTTGCAAGCATCTTGGACGACACGAGGGAGCCTGTGGCTATTTCTTGACGGCGACAATAGCTCGATGAGCTCGTAGTGCCCTTGCTCGGCAGCACAAAGCCAAGGTGCTCGACCAAATCCATCCTTGATGCCTAGGTCAGCCTCCTCTTTGGATATCAGGACGTTTACCACGTCCTCGAATCCATTGAAGGCCGCCCAGTGCAGGGCCGTCATACCATTGGATAGCCTGGCATTGATAGAAGCTCCAGCGTCCAGTAATCGCTCAACCACACAGGTCAGTCCTTTCTGAGCGGCATTGTGGAGTGGTGTCCAGCCTCCGTCACTGACTGCGCACGCATTGGCCTGATACTGAAGCAGAAGACTCATGATATCTTCTATGTGCGTGGTGTTGGTACTGTCGACGGCTAGGTGAAGTGCTGTGCGGCCGCGATTGTTGGCCGCGGAGACATCTGCGCCAGTTTCGAGAAGCGTCCTGACCAGATCGTAATGGCCATTTGTGGCCGCCCATAGAAGAGGTGTTCGCCCAATTTTGTCCTTAAAATTCACATTAGAGCCATGACTTACGAGCAGCCGGACAACCTCGCTGGAGCCGGCAGCCCACGTGGAGGCGCTCGATTTGACGGCGGCTAACGCCAGCAAAGGAGTGCGTTCGTCTTTGTCCTGCGCATCCACAGCGGCGCCTCTGGTGAGGAGCAACTGAACAATATCTCCGTAACCCCTGACGCTTGCAACAAACAAGGACGTCTGCCCGTTACGATCGCGTGCTTCCAAATCCGGGCCCTGCGATAGGAGCTCGACGAGGACCGCTGTCTGGCCACTTTGCGCTGCGCGAAACAGCGCAGGAAACTCATCCTCGCTCTGCGCGTCGACTTCGGCACCTTTCCTCAGCAGAAGATCAATGATGTTGAGATTGTCGCGCGCCGAGGCTTTTTGGAGGGCTTTTCGCAGAGCAGCTTGGTCTTTGGACGAATTCCATGGCGTGCCCTCCTTCAAAACAGAACGAACTCTTTCTTCATTGCCCCTCGCTGAAGCAGCAAGGAGATCGCGGTGGAACTGTGACGTCTGCGTGCTGACAGTGCTGGCACTGCTGACTTGACTTGATTTGGTCATCGCGGTTGCGGCCGTCGGGTTTGGGTTGAGTATATTGAATAAACTTTAAACCAAGACGGACGAGAAAGTTAATTACTGCATTTTTGCTTGGGCGTATCCACCCCAGGAAGGACCCAAAAGAAAGGACAAAAAAACAATGGTCAATCCTCGCTGCATAAATGAGCAATGTGCAATCGTCTGGTAGCCCCACCAGGGTAGGGATTCAGGAGTAACTGTGGGTATGTTTCGAGCCGGGGTTGTGCACCACAAAATGGCAAGAAGCTTGCTCTTTGGCGATCACCAGCGGGCGCAGTTGGGCGAAGAGTGCAGTCTAGATCATACCCAGTATGTATTTCTTCCGTCTGGTCCATACATTCATGTTTCTTCAAATCCATCTCGACCGTCAAGATCCCCAGGAAATTTTGCAGCGACTCGCAACTTGACCTATCATTCAAGGATCCCAGTTAAGTAATCGAATGCTTCGCCAGATATCCAACCATTCCCAAGCAGCCCCCTTTTCATCCCTGACCCTGTCGCCGTAGATGCTTTCTCAATACCACCCAACATGTGATTTTCGACGTCCTCGCAGTAGACCGGCCCAAAAAATTAGCAAATTCCTACGCTTCCCAGCAAAAGTGAGTGACTTGCATGACTGAACAATTTGTTGATCTTTTGTCCAATTTTTTCCTTCCTTTAGGACCCCCTTGCTCTTCCAGTCCAAAAGACAAGGAGTTTGACTGAGTCTGGTTTTGCTCAGTCCAGGCTGTGGCGACAATAGATCCACAGCAACCACAATTGGTACTACAGCAAGGTCGAATGTGATACCTTGGGGCATGGGAGAAACAATCTTCTTTCGGGCACCTCGACATACTGCTTATTCATCGGGACCAGTCGTGATATGGGCAAAGCTAAGGAAGACCTCTTAAGTGGCAAATTGATTGACCACAAAGAAGGCTGCATGACCACCCTCAATACTCTATTGAACCAGTATAACGATTGCTCAACGGTGAAGAAAGCTCTTTGACGTCAGGTTTTGACTGTTTGATAATGTTGGATAGGATACTGCCCCCAGCGAGGACAAATCGTTGCTGCTGCCTGTCGCGAGTCTCGAGTCAGGCCCTTGCCACGCCCAATCCCCTCATCTAGCAGGTCAATCCGCACAGTCCGGTATGCATTCTGTATATCATTGCGGCCGATCAGTCCCTTTCTTTTCATCCCCCCACTATGATTCGACCCGATGAAATACGAGTTCAGAATCTAGAGTCTTGATGCTCATGAGCCGTTCGTTGACAATTTCGAAGATAAATCCATCACCAGCCCCAAGCAACCCAACTCCCATCCAGGCAAATGAATGGTCAAATAAGTTGCCGCCATCGCCTCCTTCTACGGCAGCACAGGGAGGGAGCGGGAGCTCACTAAAAACCATGCGATGTGCAGTCAGACTCGTTCCGTTAAACTTGTATAGGGATGCCAAGGATGTTGTGCCGGAATAAAGGCCAGTCGGGTGAAGACGCGCCCCCATGGAGTTCCCCAGAGCATCCTCGCCACTAGTATAGAATGACTTGATCCCAAGACCAGGTTGATCTTCATCCACGGTAAGGGTGATATTCGTCCCTTCTGATGAGTTGCTGACGAATGTACCCAAGAGATTGTCTTGAGCATTCTTTACCGCGGCGTACTCTGCAGCTCGCACAAATGTCTCGCCGAGTACATCACGCAACGGCCAACGGGCATCACTAGCAGTAAAACCGGCCACCAAGATTGAGCAGCCTAGCCCATGGTCAGGTGACAGAGCAATGACACTCGTATAGTCGACATTTCCGCCTGATTTGATATAGAGATCACACACGCGGGTGCGATTCGAGGCTGGATTGACGGGTTCATAAGGCGAGGGATCTCCCAAGGCGCACCGACAAGCTCCACAAGGATCCAGTTCCGCTGTGAGGCTTCATCCACTCTCGAGTGGTAATCGGAGACAGGAGCTCGGAATCGAGGATAGACAGCCCGGGGGCTCGGAGGTCTGCTAGACTAGTGTATACACCGCCGGTTCTGAAGGTATTTCGGACTGAGATGCAAGTCAATCAACAAGCGTTGAGATAGAACTTACCCTGCGTACAGTGGGATGTCGTAAGCCCACGAGCTGTTTGCCTGACTGGAACGATTGATCACGTTGGCGTCTCATTCGACCGGTGCCATCGTCGACGTGTGTCGCAGCCCCGAGGGATCAAACAAGATGTTTCGCAGAGCGTCTTCATAACTAGTTCCAGACAGGCGAACGAGTACTTGGCCCAAGACGACGAATCCGCCATCCGAGTATACTGCATTCCAAGAGGGTGAAATTACTGGGCGCTGCTGATCCCTCATATACTCCAGAAAGGCTGGAATGGACTGTTATTAACCAACGTCTAAGGAGTCGCAATTACCTTGTGGTGTCTGCTTGTCCTCGTCACCGCCTGTGTACTCAAAGAAGCCTAAAACATAACTGAGCGTGCGAAATTATGGGAAGTTTTGAACCTATCAAGTCAAGCATACCTCCTGTTCACCCGGAGCCGGCTTGTTGAGATATCAGTGTCCCAACCGAGATGGTCTTTCCAATTGATATTCTGTAGAGAATCATGGGACGAATTGCTTGCGAGCTCAGGCAAGTATCTCGTCACGGGGTGACTGAAAACCTCTATGCCTGCCCTGGCGATGATAGCGTACGCGGTGAAGAGTTTGGATACACTTCCGTTTCGCGAAACAGTCTGACGTCCAGCGTCCCTTCTGTCAGGGCATATTCCTGAACTTCGCCGACATGGTAGTAATTGTAGATAGATTCATTATTTGAGGCGGAGAAAACGTCGACCGCAAAAATCAGGTCTGTCCGGTTGAGGTCGCCGGACGAGAATAGGTCTTCAATGAGATCCGGGAACTTGAATTTCGCCTCATTAATATCCCCAACTTGGAACTGTTGAAATTTGAAATGAAGGATGGGCCAAGAAGAGGAACCTGATCCGAGGCAATAATGCGAAATGCCGAGCCACAAGTGAGACCCAGCAAGGGCCAGAATAGCATGAAATGTTGTATTGTGATAAAATTTGATTGTTTCTCTTGCTCCCACTGCTAGTAAGCTTCTTTGTAATCGTTAAAATAATCAGTGGGATTTCTCTATCTCTTATATGTCGGAAGTTGACTGCATTGCCACAAACGAACAGCGTTCCTTCAGAAGTTTGAAGATGTCATGTTTTCTTGTGTAAGCTTATAGTTCAGTGCCCATCATGGCTCATTCACTTGGCAAATCGACCATGGGAAATGCGATAGACAAAGAAATTCTCCAAGAGAGCATGATCTACATAGCAGCCGCTGCCAAGGTCATACGGCTGAACTTGATGGTGTACATTACGTAAGCGTGGCTGGCTGTGGGACAATGACTGACTCCACTTGATAATCATCTATCCTTATTACTGCCCATGGTCTTGAGACTATTATACGATTTCAACGTCAAAGCTTTTGTTTTTCTTCGCAGGGTATGGAACTTCAAAGGGGGCGGTCAGAATGTGCCCTCCACGTCCGAAATTCTCTGCCGCGCACTGAATGCGGCTGTGACTTGAAGGTTGTGTCCCTATCATTTTGTCACTGCAGAGACGTATGAAATCGCCTTTAATGACAGATACGGTAGGTTTCAAAGAATACTAAAGGGAAGCTCTCTCCATTTCCTCTTGCGTGAGTATTCAAAATGCCACAATATATCATCGCGGGGCAAGGACCGACGCTCTAGAACGAGCTGGCCCGAAAGGTCAATTTCATTGAGCCCTATACCACCCATGATCAGGGAAGCGCACTTTTCAGTAATACCGATTCTCATATTGTATTTCAGATCCTGAGTGAACCTGAAGCCTTCTGGACCCATAAATCATGGCTGAGCACGTGGGTGCATGCAGCCCCCAATCTGCCACGCAAGTGATCCAAGTACCGGGCTGCTTTCAAGCAGTGTTTTATGCCGATGATACCAGCAGCTAAGCGTTCGAGAGTGCCAAGACGCTCGATGACATGAAAGCAGCCGCGGCGGTGCACAACACTTCGGAATTTGTCGGTGGCCGGTGCCAGTTGACGACAGGACGGAACCCCTGGAGATAAGCGGTCACGTCGCCTCTTTTCTCCGCTTTCAGAAATCGAATCCCTGTTCCCTGGAAAGCTCTTCGGTAGAGGAATGCATCTTCACACTCGATTGTGGAAGGAACCTATTCGGTTTATTGCTGTTTTCGGCATGTTTTATAAGTGTCCTCGAATTTGACTACACTTCCCGGGTTTAGATCGTTTGCATGGCTCGGAGGGAAATCAAACCTAGATATTGCCAGACTAAATCTCCTCCTCTGTATATTGCGGTAGCACGATAAAACTTATGCGCTTAATCGAAATAGGCAAGAAAGCCACGTGTGAAACACAGACGGGACAGCAGTTTAAACGAGGATCCGTAGAAGGACTCATTCAAAATGCAACCCTAAACGCTCCGCTCTTTTCGACAATCTGCTTCCTACGCAACGTGACCTCTGTCTATGTCAACTCTCTCCTTGCTACTCCATTACTGAGGAGAATCCTGTCCCGGATTTGCTCTCTCGTAATGCAACAACTTGATAGCCTTGTACAGTCCGAACGCAGCCAGTGACCCGATACCTGGACCAACCCAATAGATCCAATGCTCGCTGGGAAATTCCGCTGCAACGACACATGGGCCCAGGCTTCGGGCAGGGTTCAAGCTCCCGCCAGTATAGTAAGCACCGCTCATCTCGGCAATAAACAGGGCCAGACCGATGCCCACTGGCGCCACAAATGTGGCACGGTGTTTCTCGGCAGCTAACATAAAGATAGTGAAAACCAGCTCGAATGTCAGGACTGCTTCAATGAAGACTCCTTGTGCAAGGGAAACTCCGTCCGTTAGGGAGGTGCTAACGTCGAGTGGAGTTGGAAATAGGAGCTCGCCCAGTCCCGCCGCCGCGATCCCGCCCAGCAGTTGGGCTATGAGGACGAATATACCGCGCACAGGCGAGATGGCCTGTATGAGTACGAGTGCAAGAGTGACCTACATAGGACAGACCAGATCGAGATGTCAGTTCTTGTCATTGGATGCATTTTCTCGCAACAGAAAGTAGATGCAGAACGGCGTCATTTAGAAAGATACTCACAGCAGGATTGAACAGGCCACCCGAGATGCGGTAGAAGACCCACACGTTGACCATAAGGGAGAATCCGAAACACAGAGCAATGTAAGTCTGGACTGAAATATTGAAGCCCGAAGAGCCATCACCTGCTGGTATTTTTGCAACTGCTGTTCCAGTGAACGCGAAGAATAGGAACATGGTAGTACCGACAAATTCGCCCAGCGCGGCAACCATGTCTATTCAGAAACATGTCAACCGTTAGCCAAATAATCACAGTGTAACAAAAGTAGTCATAGAGGGTCGACTGACGATTTTTCCAGTTCTTGGAGGCCTGTCCTCCTCTCTTAAAGAGGCCTCTGAAGCCAGAATCCTTCTCACCGCCATCCGCAGCTCTAAACTGCTGGGTGAAGGTGCGATGAAGCACGTTACTGATCGAGTGACCTATCCCGTGACCGTGAGACCCATTTTCAGGATTCAATGGCTTGTCAGAGGCTCCTGACCCAGGGATGTCGTCAGAACCTCGGGTGAAAGAAGGGGAAAGATTTCCAGGCTCGGGTCCTCGCTCAAGGTCAAAGAGACCGGGGCTCGGAAGACTGTAGGACAGTTTCTTTTTAATTCCGTACGACTGTTGCTGGGTCTCTTGGGAAGCCATTTCAATGTGATATCTGGATAGAAATATGGCCTTGCTTAATAGATTCGAGTATGTTTTTCTGGGAGTTTGAATTGATCGAATCTGGATGTGCTCCCAAGCGAAACACACGGCGCTTTTATATGAGGAGCTGGTCACCGACCTCGTGTCTTCAGATACTTGATTACCAGCAGCGGTGAGTGGAATTCACAAATTACGTCGTGGTCGCAGATCATAAGTTTCGTTTCGAAGGAGGATGTCATCAAGCATAACTACCATATACCCCTCGATCTTGATATAGTGACCTGCACTCATGCCCAATCGAGGAGACCGGGCTGGTAAATGCTTCTTGTACGCCAATTCAGATTGATTACTTCACATCAGCTCAACCAAACAAAGATAGAAGTGTATTCGATTCGTGTGGTCATGCATGTGAGCACTTGAGAGTGTTCGTGCTAGCCTAGTGGGGAGACGACCGCCCGGCTGCAAGCACTTCCATGCCACAAGCGCTGCCTTGGCGCAGAGATCGGAGTATCTTTCTTTGTCTCGTTCTTGGTGCTGGTCTCACGGCCCAACGCCCTCCACTTTTAGAGTTTCGCTCTTCGCGATCCGCCTGCATCTCATGGCTTCCAGGGCAAACACCGCTGGGCTGAACGGTGCCGAGCAATGGTCTATAATACAACGCTGCCTTTTTGGAATTAGCATTGATATCGCCGGCGTCACGACATGATGTAATTAGAACCGACGGTGGATAGTGCGAAGTCTCCTTTGCAGGATATTAATCCAATGTATGATGGTCACCGCGTGGCCACAACCGCACGAGTACGCGTACGTTCGGAAATAGGCTCTACTTTGCGTATGATCGACTTCAAAACAAATACTAGTCACCATGCTCAGAAGGACGCCCACCTCGCAATGTGATGCTTTTTTTCAGGATGCTCAACACTAGTCTATGTCAAAGATGAGAGTTGATCACACATGAGTTTCTCGTACAGAATGGCCTAATGCGGTGTGCCCAAATTGCCGTGACCCTGGCATCCTTGGAAAAGGCAATCCGCCTGCGCCTGACCATGAAATTCGGTGGCTTATCTAAACACCAATTGAGATGGGTGCCATCTACGTTTATAAAAGAGAAGCATCGTATAAGCGGCAAAGCTTGCTACCCAGGCACGCTCGAAGCTTGCTACAAAGTCCCTGTTTCTTAGAAATGTCGTGGGAATAGGGTTTGACAGCGGTGGCCGAGCGCGATGTCAATATAATTCTGGATGACGTTCGGCCAAGGCATAGTTATACGACCCTGGCTGGGTACACATCCGCAATAAGCAAGATACAGATCGTATACAGTAGGGTGGCTATACATCGGATCTTTGACAAGCGGAAGCTAGAGAGCAAATCATGCATCACATCCTTGCGAGGGGCCCGAGTACCTAGGTCAGTGTTTCACAACAAATCGCAACCCAATCTTCCTCACCATCTGCGAGCTCTACGCTGACATGGATGGCTGTTTGCGCCTAATCATCCCCCTTCGACCGATCCTTCTGCACATCGTCCATTGCCAATGAGTATCAACCAAAGATTCGGGATGTTAATCTCGATCTTGACGGCGGATCATGGCAAGTCCGCTCAGGGTAACATTAGCTGCACCTTGGCATCTCAAGTCGGGGAGGGCAGGCTGATTGAATTCATCCATATTTCAAGCCCTTCATGAAGTCCTCCTACAACAGCGGAATACTCGTCGAAGGTCGTCGGGAGAAAACGTGGTCGGGATTATCCGTCTGACGTCGACACGTCTTTTTTTGATCTGCCGCAAATCCCGCCCGCCATGCGTGTGTCAGAAACACGCCGCGCTTTGTGTAAGGCTGTCTCGGCTACCAGGTTTGCCAAAACCTTATTTGTAGGCCCAGCGCCCAAGGCTTCAAGACTCGCGGGTGACCTCGTTACGGAAAGCCGGTCTCGAAAGTTAGGCATTATCCAGCCATTGACGAGTATAGCCGAGAATTTGTGACGTGACAGGTAAACTAGTCACGATACCAACATCCAGCATAAGCATGGCCGGATCTCCCGAAAGTCGGCACATGCTCCACTCGGTATCGCTCCTGTTTGCTACACCATTCTCCGCTATTGAAGCACCTGAGATGCGAGTGAAAATGTTATTCCCTTTAGATCTTTGAAAATTCTGATGATGCCTTGGTGCAGAATACGCGTTCCCGAGCCCAATAGCCGGGGCCAGGCATGGTTTTGCAGTCGACCAGCAATCCCTAACATTCAGAAGCCCACAAGACGCCTTCGGACCGGCTTATGCGTGTTGGTTGTCAGGCTTCTCTAGATCGAGAGCCAAACGAGTAGCAGTCCAACCCACTGTCTGCGTTCCTCCCGGTGCTTGAGCTTGGCGGCAGATCATGGATGGGCTTCGCTGTTGTCCTTTGAGCAATCGACTTCAATCTCAACTCGGTAATTCGGAATGAAATGTGTAGCGAAAATTCGGTCAGAACCAGAAGCCCTTTTTGAAAAGTCGACGTTCACCGTGCAAGAGAATTCCATACAGTTCATCTCAAATTAATTTCCTAGTATGGAGGGGATCTCGATGTTCATTTTGCAGGTCATAGAAGCTTCTCCTTGCCCCTACAATTGTGTGCAACTTTTGAGGCTTCCCAGGGCAACGGTGTGAACTCGACAGGAGCCGCTCCATCGTCTCCTCAGCCCTATCTCCAAGCGACAAATGCACGGTTCGTTTTCGATAAAGAGCTGGGGTTTGTCACTTTCACAACACTCTTTTTTAAAATTAAATTTCCTGATTGCGTGGGTGATATGTTGTGCGAGAGAGTGGAGGTGCTACTGAACAGATGTGCATTCCTGGATATTTCAGTAATTACCGAACACGTACGCTCAACTTAATTCGCGTGTCGTGGCACTGGTCGACGATTCATTCACTTCCGTTTTCGCTCTACGCTGTGAAGACTACTATCACAAATACTTTCCAGTACATAATTCAATGGGTGGATATTGCTATAAAGTCTTATGTTGACAAAGCTTTGTTCCTACTTCGAATCCCGGAAGCAATTCGCGGACCTGGCACACTCTGAAAGAAACGCAAGTGGGAAATTGGAACCTTGGTAACAACTAGGGTTAGGGTCAAAAAAAAATCCGGTAGCAATACAGGCACTTCATTGCCCAGCCAGCCTATATACACAAACGTTGTGCTCCAATCGCCAGTTGGAGGCTAGTGATGCGGGTTCGAACGACAGAACGACAGTGAGACAGTCGAAGCATCATTATGGTGATGACAAATGCAGGGCCGATCCTACGCTGGATCATTCGAATGCATGTGTTGGTTCCAAGCCCCATCCTGCGCTCTGCAAGTGTGCGGCGTAGCACATAGTCTAAACTACTAATTGGCCCGCGGCCCCCACGCCCAACCATGAAATTGTTCTAGGCTGCCAGGACAAACTTCAGCTGTGGCGCCGCCAAGTCCCGCCGATGGATGCATTCTCACTAACAACTAGACCAACTGCCTCAAGCCTGCTAGCTCTCTGGCATCCCTCCCCCTTAGAACATTGAATATCACGCTTATCTCCCTCCTCGGCAATGTTCCTCCCCGCATCCTCATTCATGACTTATTGCTCGTAGACGGTGAGGCGATAATACTGCTTTGGGATTCATCAGCGGGCTGTCCTCCACAAAATCTCACCAACGTGTCCTGAGGATCTGCGGTGCAACCGACCGATGAGGCTCAGCTGAAAATCCCCCCCTGTCCAAGCCTCAACACCTGGGGTTGTTAGCGCTTACTTGACGTGCAGCCTGCCGACATGACCAATTTGTTTCTGTGACGTCGAGTCTGCTGCTTCGAAGAAGTCTGCCTTCATTTATTCTTCTCTCCTACCTCAATCTGCTTCATGCATCTTTTGCGCGACATTCTGAGACGCATCGCTGCCTCCCGAGGTCAGAATAGAGGGACAAAAGGCCAACAACCCCTCCGCGAGCAAAGACAATGGGGATAATGCCTCCACCATCGGGCGTCGCCACGCCAGCCTGTACTGAGGGCAAACGCCATCACCGTGGACGCTCTTATGGAAGACATCTCAGCCGTCCAGATGCGGCGGATCGCAGATCCACGTCGTCTCGTGGCAGCAGTAGAAGTAATACGTCCGCCCCAGGCGCAACCAAGCCTCCTTCCCTGGAGCCCAGTATTCGAAGAGCGCTCAGCAGACTCTATGACCACTTGAAGGGAACGGAGAAGACTCTTTCTGCAGCAGATCTTGAGTTCTTCCTGCGAGAGATGCAAAACGACCGCGACAAACCCTATTTAAAGAACGTACGTTCTGGGACCACGTATTCCTTCCCGGAATTCTGCGACTTCTGGTATGAACACGCCAGCCACTCGAAAGGCCCCATCGAGAAATTGGACCTCGATAAACCCATGTCGAATTACTACATCAACAGCAGCCATAATACTTACATTGGCGACGGGGATCAGGTCAGCGGGCCGGTATCAACGGAACAATATCGAAAGGCGAGTTGCACTCTCACGAAGATTCTGCAAAGCTGGGGTTCATATGGGATGAGCTTAGCTAACGCATGGGGAAACACAGGTCATCAAGCGAGGATGCAGATGCGTAGAGATTGACGTCTGGAACTCTCCGCACCTCAACGAGACTCCTCGTAGCCCCCGGGCCCTTCGACAACAAAGAGGCCCAATTGGACAACATTGGTCGTTGGATTCACTGCTGTCGTGGATGAAAATGCGATTCCAGAACGGAGCTGGGGCTGACAGAAGGCAGTCCTTCAAGAAGCCGTTGGTGAGAGTCCGGGCGCTTTCGGATGCGGATTGGGACGAGAAGCTCGAGCACGAACCACGGGTGTGCCACTGTCTCCCGACTCCCATAGCGGGAGATCTCAGTGCGCGCACTGGTTTACCTTTCAGACTCGTGTGCAGGGCGATCAAGGCTGTGGCATTCGAACAGACCGACCTGCCACTCATCATCAGCTTGGAAAATCACACGACTGGTTCACAACAAGAGGAAATGGTGAAGATCATGAAGGATGAATGGCAAGGGCTCCTCCTGGAAGACTCTCTCCCAGGTTGCGATCCTGAGACGCAACAACCTAATGTCAGGGACCTGAGAGGGAAAATACTCATCAAAGGGAGGAAGAAAGCGCAGAAGAACGTCACCGCCAAGTCCAACCTGAAGTGTGAGGTCAAGTCAATACGAAGCGAGGCGTACAGCTCTATATCCTCAAAATTCAGCACAACGAAGGCGCACGAATACTACCACACGACATCACAGACTACCTCACCTCCGAAGAAGCAGAAGGTAAAGGGTGAAAAGATCCTCGACGCGCTTGACAAGCTGGCCATATACACGTTCAGCCCGGGTCCCTTCAAGTCTTTCAACTCAAGAGACGCCGATAAGCCAGCCCACATCTTCAGCTTCGGCGAGGAAAAGTTGAAGGCACTCCATAGGACCAAACACAAGGACATCTTCCAGCACAACAAGAAATACCTAGCAAGAACGTTCCCAGAGAGCCTCTCGGCTTTTCTCTCGACCAATCCCAACCTCCCAACTTTGTTCTGGCGAAAAGGTGTCCAGATGGTCGCGCTCAACTGGCAGTACTGGGACACAGCGATGCATCTCAACGACGCCATGTTCGAAGATAGTAATGGCTGGGTCCTCAAGCCCCGAGAATATCAGTCCGACTCTGCAGCAACTTGCCAGGCCCAAGTCAAAGAAAAGAAGAAGATTTCCTTGTGCATCACCATCCTGGGAGGACAGCACATCCCGACCCCTCGAGTTCTCGACGCCGAGGAGTCAAATGAGAAAGCTAGCACCGATGACTCTGATGTGAGGGCGATCCCTGTGGTGGACGACAACGATTTCCGGCCCAAAGTCAAATGCTACCTACACGTTGAGAGTCACAGGGAGAGAAACCCCATGAAGAAGATGAGCGAGGAAGAAATCTGCAAGGAGACCAAGTCCGCCGAGACCAGAAATCCCACATGGCCGGAACATGAATCGAAGTTGGAATTCCCGACAGTGAGCCACGTAGTCGAGAAGTTGAGCTTCGTAAGGTACGTGGACATCCCTAGCAGCGCACCTCTTGACCAACCCCCCGCCCAAGGCAGCAGATACTAATCCTCGACTGTAGGTTCCGGGTCGAACACTGTGGCCTCATCAGAGATCAGCGCACCGCATGGGCATGCATCCGCCTCGACAGGCTGCAAGAGGGGTACAGGCTCATCAATCTCAAGGATCCCGGTGGTGGCTCAACCGACGGTATGCTTCTGGTGAATGTCCAGAAGACCATTCATCATGAGCCCCCCAGACCGCTGTCGTTCAGGGCTAAGACCTGGAATGCCTGTAAGAAAGGGGGTGAGGAGGTAACGCGTTTGGGCTCGCGATGGCCGTGCTTTGGTAACAGTGGGATGTGATTGGAAGATTAGTGCATCCTCAGGCACGATACCCCGAATCTCAGAATTTTCACGGCGTGAAACGGTGGATGTGTCGACAGACAGGGCATGATTTAAATAGCGAGCGTTTGTCAAATGATACATTGTGGTTTCTGGCGCACCAGACTTGGCTACAGAGGAAAATGGTTGCAACCACACCTCTGCGCGTGGATTTGATGCTTATAGCCAGAGATATCAACTACCACTTCCAAGAACGCTTTGTGTGGAATGGGGACCAACGGAGCAAAAGCCGCCGTGCCCTACGACTTTCTCGCATTGGTGGACAGGTCCAGCTACTAAGCTTCGTAAATCTCACTCTTCAGATATCAACCTCTTGATTTTGCTTTTGTATTGGTCTGTCGTGAACGCAGTATTAAGGTTTGATACACCCCTTATGAAACATGGAAGGTCTAACTCTATATGATATTAAGTTTTTCAGTTTCTATGATTCTATTCTATGTGTCTTGGCGCTCCGCAAAGCATCCAACATATCATACAGTGAAAAGTTCAACGTCCCACTTTGGTTCAAGTAATCACTTGCCCCCAGCCATGGCTTCAGCCATCCTAGTTGCCTCCTGCGCGAACCTAGTCTTGCTCCTGATGATATGTCCCCATTTGTAGAAGCACAAGAGACAAGGGACGAAAACAACTGACATGAACCCCGGAACTGACGAGGCCCAGTGGATGCCTAGTGAGTTGTACATGCTACTCGTAAACAAGGGGAACACCGCAGCTGCCACGGATCTGCAGACGGTTGATGCAGCCAACGCGCTAGCCGCATATCCCAAGTAGGTATCGACGATGTAGTTGGTCAAGGACATGTAAAGAAGGACCATTCCGAAGCCTGTGAAAACACCCGCGCTGACTGAGATGAGCCAGAATGTGGAGGGATCATTCGTCCAGGCAAACCAGAACAGGCCGATGGGCAGTGCAATGGAGCCCAGCATCGCTGGTGGAAGACGATCCTCAGGAGATGCTCTTCCGTTGTTCCTAGCGAGGATCTTGGCGTAACGTTGCTGGTCGAACAGGGCGGCGTAGAAGAGCGCAATGACAATGCCCAGCGCGACAGCCAAGAATGGCAGAGAAGCGACACCCTGGCGCCATCCGCGAACTTGTTGGAACACGATGGGGTAGGCCGCGAACAAAAGAAACATGGTTGCTTGGACCACGGAGAGAAATATGCTGAGCAGCATGACGATGGGTTCGAAAATAAGAAGGAGCCAAGGCCGGAGAGCGCCAACCTTGAGCTGGGTCATGACGGTCTTCTGCTCGCCGACACCGTCGACTAGATGCGGCTTATCAAGAATGGCCTCCATTTTTGCAGCCCGAAGACGAAGCAGAGTGGGGGCATATGTTTCGGGGAAGGTGAATGTCATGGCGATCCATGTGGGTGCGGCAAGAGCAGCGATAAATATGGCCAACGAGCGCCAGCCGAAAGCGGCGTCGAGGAAACCGCAGAAGATGGGGCCGAGCATTTGGCCCATGAGACCGGCTAATGTGAAGAGGGCGAGGACAAATCCACGCTCGTCTGCTCGGAACATGTCGGCAATGACGGCAGGGGCAACCGCCTGGGTGAAGGACCCAGCGATACCTCCGAGGAATCGAGCGCCGATGAGCAGTGGGGCTGAGTTTAGCAGTCCAATGACGCCCGAGAGGACAACAAAGGCAGCATACGTCCAGATATAAAGTCCCTTTCGACCGTAAACCTCGCTCATAGGGGAGAGGGCGAGGGCACCGATAGCGAAGCCGAGAACAAAGGCTGATGTGAGCAAGAGGGCGACGGTATCATTGACGTCAAAGTCGGTCTTGATATCCCGGGTTCCTGTGAGTGTTGGTCAGCTCCATGCCGATATGGGCAGACAAACCACGAATACTAACCTTGGGAAAACCCAGACGAGGCAATCGAGACAGTCCACACAGCGATAGCCAGGATCATAGCGTTAAGCCACTTCTTGCCCTTGGAAAAGTTCAACGGGTTGGCTGGATCATTTTCTGTCCATGAGACCAGATAAGGCTCATCGACCGTTCCCTCACCAGGGAAGTCGTACATCAACACCTCCTTTGTGACGAGCCCACCTGCTTTGTCGGCCTGTTGGAGTTGCTCATCGGTGAGGGGCTCTCTCGGTATCTTGTAGGCAAACTTTTCGGGGTCGATCGATTCGTGGTACCAGCTCCTATCACTTCCCCCCGAAGCACGGCTGACGAACGACTTTCTCTTCTCCACAGCAAAGTTCCCTTCCCAAATCGGTGCGGAATCCTCCTCGTAGTCCCTCAGCACGCTTTGCATCCATGTTGCCCGGTTGCCGTATCTGGACTTTCGGTTCTGTAATTGCCCTGTCCACTGGTCGGGAGCCCGTTGGCTCTGAGGAAGGAGGCCATCGCCAACATAAAGACTCATCCGTGAGGCCAATGCCTCGGCATCAAAGGTACTGGTCCACCGTTGAGTATTTCGAAATTGCCCGGGCCAGGCGGCTTCATCTTGGTGCTGCTGCTGCGGCTGTTGGAATGGAGACGGCCACATTGTGACTCTGTTGGCACGCCTTTCCGGCATACGAGATTGTCTGCGAGCATCTCGGGCCGCGGAGGCGGGATGGAGAGACATGCTGGTGGTTTATCTTCCTTGCAGTCTTCGAGTATGACGAATGGATTGTGTTGAAGGGTAAAGGAAGGGGCTCCGGCTGATACCAGGCGTAGGGGTAGGCAAGAACGAGCCGGGTATCTACGTCCAGACACGCATGTGTGAGAGAAAGGCGTGCAGATGCAGTATGGAAAAGTCAATAAAGTTCAATACTGATGAACGGCTATGCCAGCATAAAGAGAAGAAGTTTAGAAAACGCGACGAGTCAACGCCAAAGAATCATACAGAAGAAAGAAGCATACAACATGCAAGACTCAGGTCAATGAGACGTGACGAAGTTTTGCAGACGCCAGCCTCATCATCATTACATTGCCACAGAGATTCGTGGCTCTTAAGGGGGGGCCATCGGATGCGCAGTACGGGTCTGGCCGCGCGGGTGGGTTTCCTGGCCAGTGACGCGCATCAGAGATATTACTGTGATGGAGACCAAATCCACAAGCAGTGGGGCTCTCGGCCAAGAGCACTGTTTCTAAATTCCTCCCAGTCATCTGAAGGAGGCCTGTCAGGCGTCCCGGCGTCCTGCCACTCGGGACTTGTGTGCAGGGTGCTCCACTTCTGGAGCCGTTGATATACCGGGCGAGGACTAGCATCATTCCCGCCTTCTGCCCAGGCCGTCCGAAGGGGACAACCGCGATGTTAGTGGAGATGCAGAGGGTCCCGTGTGGGTACTGTAGATCACCGCAGCACGAGAGATGTGTTGTGATTGGCTGTGTCTCCGGTAAACCTGCCATGAATACGTAGACATTTGAGACAGCCGGACCCGCTTAGCTAACATGAGGCTCAGTCAAGCAAGGTTTAGTCAAGGTTCTGTCACTGCACAGCACAGATCACCGGTTGGGATTTAGGTATAAAGGGGGGATCGGCAGCATGGTCCGGGGAGATTCAGCGGCTGACTCGAAACCAGGATCGCTCTATTCGGGGCTGATAATGCCTGTCGTCCGACATTTGGTTCTATACTGGATGTCCCAAAGGCGAATATACCGCCGGTGCAGCTGGCGTCATCAGATAAAGGACGAACGGTGAGGTGGCAAGTTCGTCTCTTGACGATGCTTTGACATTCTCGAAAGCCTATTAGTGCATGCTGCGGAAACGGACGGTTCGAACCTTAAAGCTCGCCGACAGACTATTCCCCTATTAGCAGAAACTTTCGAACCTCAAGATGAGGCTCTTCATGATCAGCCCTATGCTAATTTCTAGATCGGTCGCCTAAAAGCCCACGAGGATTTCTAGCCCCGGCGATGTGGGTAGAAAATTTAATTGACACAAGCATGGATCGACGAAACGCCCAGCTCTGGCAACAGGGGACCAAAAGCATAAAAATTGGAAATAGCCGACACAGCGGTTCTCGGGCTGTCATTCGTCAACCCGTATCGTGTGTGGGCCGCGGGCTGAGTGCTTGCGTACGCGCATGCAATCGTGGCAGCAGCTCGTCAGCACAACAGCACACCCCGGTGGATCTACTTCAGGATGGCCCCTGATATTGAGTGGGGCTGGGGGCAGTGGCTGTTCCGAACAGCAGGGCGCGAACATGATAAAGAGGGCTTCACCCCTAATCTATAAATTTCCTTGGCTTTCACTTGTCCGATGTTTGTTCAATTGTTTCTTGCACCTGCTGGCCCCAAAATTCGGCCTCGCAAAGCAACAAATTTCGAAACACGAGCATGGTCAGAAGAGGGCCACTGGGAGAAATTTGTTCCTGGACGCGTGTGCGGCGGTTGCTGGCGCCCCTTCCGCTCGAACCCCCTTTTAGCGACTGAAACATCGGTAGCCAAGCTCTCAGGCGTTCTAGTTCGTGGCCAGGCCGATGTTGTCCACACAAGCGGCAACATCACCAGGTATCCAATCAGAGGCAAGTGGAGATGCCGAAGGTGTTAGAGATTCAGTCTCTGCTATCGAGAAACTTGTTAGCCCAGAACCAGGAAAAGAAACAACAAATTATGCCAAGTCTGTGATCACTATGGGCAAGACTCCAACACCATTTCTCAGGCGGCCAGCCGATCTTGATCATTATGGATTGTTTGAATTAAATGAACATCGAGACATCAGATTCTGCGTGCTCGCTTCAAATTCTACGGCTGGTTGGGAATCCTGATCAACGATCCCATGTGATTCGCGTGTCCGAGGCCCTAACAGCTCCGCCAGCTCGCGAACCTGTTTTCTGAGTCACCATGTCATGCCTAAAGACAAGCAACGATTGGGGTGATTCTTTGATCATAGCTCATAGACATTACTGACAAGTCCGCCGAGTATTTGGTCCTATCCAGCTCCTACACGCGGTCGTATGCTACTGGTTTTGGCATCAGAAAGCATTTGGTTACGCATCCGTTGTGGCTTACGTTTCCAATTATACCATGCCGCGATGTGAACCAAAAATACCAACAATTCACTGTTGATGAGAATGCATTTGCTTTGCCTATCCGCCTTGTCCTTCTGGAAAAGGCCGTATCGCTGGAGGACGGTCTGGTGACAGAAGGCAGCACTCTCTGCTCCAGACCCTATTCAACACCCTAATAAATGAAGTCGCTTTCGGATAATCGATTGTCATATGACATGCATGCTAGGTCAAGATAGACTTTGGTGCCAACGACCGCGGAAAGGAATTAGTGTATCGTTTCCCGCCTGTGTCATCTCCTAGCATGTTTTTTCCCGTCCCAAAAGTCTACCCGTCTCTACAAAAGTGAGCACAAAACCAGCGACCTTTTACCCCACGGAAATATCTTGAGTAATATTCCCTGTTCTGAAAGCCATCTAACGTCTCTTGGAGTTTCCACATGTGCATCTCCACGCCTCGCCTCGGCTTGATGGTGAATGCTGCGATCTCATCTAGGTGAGGTAGAACCCTGCCTTAAAATAGCAATGCAGGACATTGTAAAGTTCCCTAGTGGTGTCCTACAAATGCAACATGGAAACGAATTGACGAGATGCAGCGCTGGAGCTAGCTTCTTCTCAGGTCATCTGACGTAGTTCTTTGTAGAGGAGACTTCGCGAGACACAGCCGCTATTGGTTTGACCCATCCCACATAGGGATAGACCACCTGGACACGTATAGTATGACAAGCCCTCCGCCGTTGCATGTTCTGCACTTTGCTAAAGCAGGAATGCAAAGCGCTTGCTCCCGTGCGCGAGCCGCTGCTCCGCTCCCGAGGCCAGCGCCATTAGGGCAGAAAACGTGGCCTGTCGTCGCACCATGGAACGGCTTCCGCAGACCATGTTCATTTAGAGTCATTCAGGTTGGCTAGAATTGTCAGACTTCATTTATTTCACTCTTCTCATTGGCCTTTGGATCATCTAGATGTGCTCTGTGGTCTGCTCGGTCTGAGTAACGCGGCTACACCTTGACTTCGACTAAACACCTCGCGGGTGATACTGCCAAACCAAAGTTTTCATGTGACCAGAGCTGTGTGACCAGGCTTTCGGGAGGGTGTTGATTGATTCCTGCTCCAGAAATTATTCTGTGTCACTCCTGAGGTTGAAGTCGCCTATAGAGAACGCTCACTCGATTACCGCCCCGTCTTCATTATTCACGTGTCTTTCGGCATTTCAGTACCGAGAGAGGTAGACGCAGACCAATTGGGAAGGCTCTGCGGTCTTTCGTTAACACGCTGAGCCCAGTTAGGAATGGATCGGCTGCGGCATAAGTGCCTTCTGTCAATCATTCACTCGTTTCACGCTGTCTTTTTTGAATACCTCTTGGTTCCATCGCAATATCTCATGCAACCTCCACAAAGTTTCCGACATTGATCCAGACAGCTGGCTGCGTTTGTCCATATGCAGAAGCCGTTCAGGGAACTTTTGAGTCAAAAATGGTGCCTAGTCATAGTAGGTAGTGTCTAGGATTTCTCATTTGCGCCGGATATTCCACTCCCGTAAATCATAACGATGACTTGGGCTACGTTTGACAAGTTTTACTTGGTCGATACCATCGAAATTTGAGTGTTTGACGAGATTTAATCTCCGATCGATTCATGTCTCAGCAAAATGGTAGTAGCTTTCTCGGACAAATGTTTTCTATGTACGAGTACGCGTTTAGTTTCACTGTCGACACTTCCCACTGAGGTTCTGAAACTTGTGGTTCAAAATGGGATCGTAAACGAGGGTCACTTCCAAAGACTAGCTCACTACGCAAGATGTGATGAAGAGGATACCTTGATTGTCGAAGACTACTCAAATCTCAATAGGCAAAGCTACGGAGCACTTGAGTTAGTATACCTCTCAGCGTTCCGCGTCCTACCTCAGAAACTGCTTCTTCACTTTGCTTTGCCTTGCCTCGACATCCACAACGTTCATCTACACAAGATTTCAGTCGACACTTGTTTTGCCCTTCCATATGGCGTCTCTTGTAAAGTCTGTGTGAATGACTACGGCGCTCTCTTACCTCATCCTTGTCGCACCCTCTTCATGACAATCTCAGGGCCCTGATTGGGGTAGAACTTTCAACAACATGGACGTTGCGAAAGATTCTGACCTAAGTCTCATCACAATGCTATCTTGTCTCGTCGGATCTTCGCTCGGGTTTCTCTTGATACGAGTCCCCTGTCAGGTGCTGAAGCGACACGACTTGTGGTGGAATGATCTTATTCTAGTCGCATCGTGGGTTGGTCTTGACCTATTGCTTCTCAGAATCTAGGGGAGAGCAAAGGCCATTTCTAATACTCACGTGGACAGGTTCTACTCCTAGCCAATTTCATATCGGTCAAGTTGGCCCTTGACATTATTTCCGGTGCCGCCGAGATCGACTTTCCCGATCAGACCCGGCTTGAATTTCTCGGAGGCTTAGCGAGGCTGTGCGCCGAGGTCGCCACCGCCCTCTCTAAAACATCTTACGGCCTGGCGCTTTTGCGCCTGATGAGTGTCCAAAAAGATGTGTCTCCACATCGCAAGCTCCGGTGGCTCATTTGGTTCCTTCTGGTCAGTGTGAACATCATATTATGGCCTGCAGCCCTGGTTCCGTTCATTAGATGCCGCCTTGGGCTATTATCTACCACGCCGGAAAGATGCTGGGGTTCAGAGTTAGATGTCGCCTTCGGTGTTGGCGGAAGTGGATACTCTGGTGCGTCTGACGTGGTGCTGGCTCTTCTACCACTTGAGACCATCTTGGGCAAATTACGGGGTCTGAAGAGGTTCGGCGTGCTATTCGCTATGAGTCTGGGGTTTGTTGCTGCAGCGGCGGCGTTTACCCAGTGCAGTCAGATCCCGAACATCGACGACACATTGCCTTGTGAGCTTTCTTTCTCTGCTTCCATCCTGAAGTGATAAGATTCTGACGTAACAGAACTAGTTACCGGGCCTGTCTCTGTCCTTTCCAACTTCGTGGAGTCGACATCGACCATCATAATGGCGGCGTCATTGCCGATACTGAGAGCGTATCCTCGCATTGGCGACGGAACAAGGATCAGCCATAGTAGGCAAACATCAAGAAGAGCGTCAACGCCTTTCTGGCATGACCGAGGGAGGCCGGAAGATATGATGACGAGACAGGAAGTTCCCAGGCGAGGACCCGCCACCGCGAATGATTTGGCTGTAAGACCAATGGCATCAACCACTCACTGTCATGGACATACATCGCCACATGAGCTGTCAGCCATGTCTCATGATGATCATAATGACAGTATTGCGGAAAAGTCCTTGGGTTCTGAGGGATTACCGCGCTCGCAAACGAGAGATTCGAAAATGAGTCCATTTGGCCGCACCTGGAGCACTATATCATCCGCACTGCGCGATCTCGAGCCGATCTGGGCCCGTAGACAGAAAGAGGCCGCAACACTACAGTGGTCCCGACCTTATACGCCGAGTGTTTACAGTACTCAAACAGTGGATAATGGTAGCACCACCAGCTTAGCCATGGGATGGGACAGCAACCATATTGTCAGCCGCCTGAGTGATATTGTGGAGGAGTCATGGAAGGGCAGGAGTATACTCAAAACACCAGAACCAGCGGTCGTAATTCAACCCACACCGAGCAATGTTGCCCCTTACAGGGCCCCTTACAGGGGAGACAAAAGTGACTGGGATATCGAGAAAGGCTCCATGATTTAAAGAGTCGTAATTAGGTTCACTACACTGACGTACATACTAAAACTATTCATCTACATATATATGCATGGGCGGTCTAAATGGAAAAGTTGGGTATACCATGTAAACTGTCGTTTGAAAGGGAATTCTCTTTTTCAACAAGTGAATCCGCGGGGTACACGCCGCAGAAGGCTTCCAATATATACGTCTCTCCGCAGCCACTGTGGCTCAAATAATGAAGCCCCCGCCCCCCTTTCCGGTGGCCTAACTTACAATACTGAGCAGCGCCCCACAAACGCAAAGCGAGACATAGCCTTGGTTTCCATGTACCAGAATCCAATTACTAGGGAATCCAGACGTTTCACGGTTACTTAAGTATATATGGACAAAGACAGATAAGACCTGAGCAAATACGACATCGGGTATTCAGGAGGTTATCAAGTCAAATGCTTGTCTCAAAATAGAATTTTCCGCAGGGAATATATCTATGTATGGGATAACAACGAGTTGTGACAAGATCGCCTAGAACATGATAGAGAAGAAGAAGAAACAAAGAGAGGGGGGGGGGGACAGTACCCGAGGGCAGTAGGTCCGAGACGTAGACAAACCATTAACGCCTGGCAAGGAGACCCGAGCAGAATCAAGATGGCCATGGAGGCAGTCCAGAGACGACTGCATCGGGCATGTGATGCGAAGTCCCAGATCTTGACAGTGCCGATCGATAGATGCAATAACCCACAAACAACACGCAACACTTGTGATTGGCACCGGAATATGGCGGGTTCAACCTACAGTTGGACGACATGCCGCCATTCCTCTGGTGCATGGCCTCATGTGAAGGACTCGTCAGGCGGCGATGTCGTGTCAGACTCAATGGCAATGCACCCCAGCGTTGAAGCACGCTTCTTCACCAACAAGCACAGTGCCCGGTCCGTTCGACCTGGGACAGTCCGAACCATCAGCCAAAGCGCCGCCGCCGCGTCTTGTCTCTCTGGCTTCTCCGCTCCCGGTACAAGCTGCCGGCGCCCGTGGCGTCCAGAACAACGGCACCGTGCATTCCGGCCTTACCAACACACACCCTCACCCGTGGTCTGCTACGTGGGATTGTCCGCCTCGGACTGCTCCTTTCCCAGACGGTGTGCGCGTGTGCGGTGCCAGAGTGCGGTTCCCTGTCTGTTCCACTCGTCCCTTCGGGCTTGCACAGAAACCACAACCCAGCGGCAAGACGCAGCGACGATCAGGCTTCGGGGGAGACGTTTACCATTAAGCGAGACACATGCTGGTCCCACCGTGGAGCAGGGCGAACCACCGGAACGACGTCCGGGGGAAGACAGATACGCACACATGGGCGCCGCCACCCGGCTCTACGGCGAGTTGGTCTATTTTTGAAGTCTTGATAAGATTCTCCATGATCGTGAGTGCGGGGTTTCGCAGGCGAAAGTGTAGTGGAAGAAGAGGGAGGGGGTGGGAGTCGAGGATTGGGACTACGGTGAGACCGCCACAGCGGCCGGCTGCAGGACAGCCTCGTCACCGCCATTACCAGCCTGGGAAATTCGGATTGGGCACTCGACCACTGACTGACTTATGTTGCAGTCTCGTGGGTTGCAACCAGCTAGAAATATTGAGTGGGGGCATGGCCGCAGTGGTGTAGGCGTTGGGTTGTTTCCAGTGATGTGCGCCATGGCAGATGCCACATTATCCCAATCCATGAATGACGGTATCTAGGTATTGCTGCGGTTTCCTGTGTCAGATGATAGGACACAGTGGAACGTCGAGGATGTACCTACCATCTTTTCCAGTCCGTCAGACATGTCCAAGGGTGACCAGAAGACAGCTACCACGACTCCAGGAAACATACCGCGGACGACCATGAAAGTGCAGCACATACACAGCACAAAACATGCCGTCACACTTCAGACTTCGATCATCATATGCTGTTTCTCCCGGATTTGAAACTGACATATTGTACACTTTCACTCACAAGCCCACTGCCCTAGGGACGACACATGCAGAGTAAACACTGCCCCCATTTAAACGTGCAAAATGCAGCCAAAGGCCAGCTCGGGCACGTCTGCGCCCACTGCACCACCCACCATCTGAGACAAGAGGCTAGTTCAATCAGACCAGCACTATATGGTAGCCAGTCCTTGTCTGCCGGCACCCGGCGACCACCACCGCCGCCGCTGCCACCACCCAATGTAGATCTATCAATCTTGCTGGAAAAAGTCATACATGGGGCCGTCGAGCCCTGGAAGGCCGCAGCAAGCAGGCGGTGCCGAACGCCCAAAACGCCACACCCCCCACGCCCCAGAGGGCCCCCAGAAGACCACGTCCAGCGCACGCCACGTGTTTCAACAACAGACATGGCACCGCGTTCGGGTCGGTCCTCTGCATCTATCTTCCTTTTTATGCCTTGCTGCCAGTCGCCCGCCACAGTAGAGAGAGAGGAGCTTGTTCCACTTGGTCTCGTCTCTTCCTGCCTCCGTCCGCTTCTACCAAGCCCCTTCACTCCATTATTGGGTGATTTTGATTTAATTGGCTGATTGGTTGACTGACTGACCGCCTGCCTAGTCAATGTAGCGCTTCTCAGTCTACAATGGTAGGAGACCAGAATGACCGGCGGCGGTGACCACCGCCAAAGCTCTCCAGTGCCATGGGCGGAAAGCCACAGCCATGGCTTCTGCCCACGAGGACATGCGCACTCACATGCTTGTTGGTTGGTGAATTTGATTCGATCTTCAATCTCAGGTTTCACGCCTACTCAAGGACGTCCTGAACAGCCAGCACTCGTGATAAATGTCTCTTACTGGATCATAGATACATTATGATATGTACATGGCAAGCACTTCTGTGTGGTCGCCTCCACGAGCGCCTTGGGTCAGCATCGTCACCCGTCCTCGGGTATGCTCCACCGCCTCAGGAACTCTTTTCCCAACCCCTTCTTCCAACTCGCTGCCACTCATTACATGCTCTCCCCTTGTGTAACTTTTTTTGTGTGTGCCCGCCACATTGTCTATCCCTAGGACCAACTTGTACTCCGCGCCAAAAATCAAGGAATTGGTACGCACATGCGATGTACAACGCGGGAATCTGCCTTTGTCCCGTGCTCCGTGACCCTCAGTATATAGAGATCGGGAGACGCTCACGCGATCCCGATATGGTTTGACATGCTTGAAAAGGGAAAGAAAAAAAAAGGAAATGTCGTGGGAACGAATGTCTCTTTTTGCTGCCTCTGCCCAGCGCCACAAGGCGCCAGGTTCTGTTGTCAGCTCAGGCCCGGCCCGAGTCCGTCTGTATCTGTTGAAACCAGACCGCCACTTGTTCAAGCCCCTTGGGCACACCCCAGAAATTGCTGGACAATAGCTTGTCCCCCTTCGCGCTGGGCCATCTGTGTGCGGGTGCTTTGGCGAAGGCTTCCCTTAATGACCCATGCCAGGAATAGAACCATTTCACATTAGTGGAACGGCCATGTTGGTGGAAAGTTCTACCCAAGAGCAGGAAGAACCTCTCCATATTGAACAATAAATATTGAAATTCTAGAAAATAAACATTCATGGATTAGGCGCGAGTACGAGCCTGGTCAGATCGCTTGGCCAGCGTTTAGGAGTGCGTGAGCCGAGAAGAGCCCGGTAGATGTGAGGCCGATCTGAGACGCAGGCAGGCGAGGAGTTTGTAAATCCGACGTGATGTCGATAGATCAGGCGCGGTAGTCGACACGAGATACGGTGATGAAAGTAGAAAGTCGGATGTAGAAACCGAGGTTGCGCTGTGATGATGCTAGGTCGTGTCGGTCATAAAAAGTCGTCAAAGCGGCCCTGAGCCGTCAAGCAGGGCAGGGAGGGAAGTTTCACTTCCTCAGTCCGACCTTGCCTGCGAGGTTCTTCCAGAACTTCCTCGCGCCATTCTCTGCCTCTGAGCCCGGATCACGCACCATGACAGCGTCCCGCACCATAGGACCAACAATGTCCTCGTCTCCCAGATCAGGGAACTTGCCTTCGGCATCCAGCATCTTTGGGATGGCCGTAGGAGTGTCGTCCTGTAGGCGGTCCCACCGCAGTTGGGCTTCGAAGCCGGGGTTTAGGGCGGCGACACGATCAAGCAGGGCGTCGTGCGCCTGCTTCCATTCCCGCTCAGTCTCCGCCCACTTCGCTTCGGTGAGAGCGTAGGCCTTGGAAGTTGTGCCGTAATGTTCGCCAGTGCGCACAATGTGCTTGGTGTAGTTAATTCTGGCCAGGTCCCAGTCGGCGCGTAGGGTGCGTAGAGTGTCAAAGTCGGCGGCTTGGGGATTGTAGGGCCTGGGCAGGATGGTGTAGTTGGCATGCCCAAGGCGGTCGGACCAGGCGTCGTGTTGTTCCAATAGGTGCGGGATCGTGCAAACCACGTCACTCGTGGCAACAACTGGTGAGGACAGACTGGTCAAGAGGGGAGGTCGAAAAGAAGAGAAGGATGGCTTTGTGCTCAGCGGTGGAGTCGCATAAACGACTGGCGAGTTCAGCTCCGAGCCTAACTGAGGAGCGATGGTGGGCGACTGGAGAGGAGATGGCGCCTGAGATTGTGTCTGAGACGAGATAATTGAGGGGACCTCAGTCATCAGGGGCGGCAACAGAGGAGTGGTCGCAAGCGCCCGCTCTCTCTCTATGCTCTGTCGCACAGCACTCGCCCTCTCGATGTCGATGCTGGCAACTCTAGGGATTGGTATGCTCTCAGTGCTTTCGAATTCGTAGAAGGACAGGGCAGGCGTGGGCGGCAAAGGGGGCTCGTTAGACCGGTCGTTAAATCTCCGGCTGGGTGCCGACAGGGAGGACGACCGGCTCGTCGAGGTGGCGCGGGACAAGGCAGGAGGCAGGTCGAGAGACGGCTCGGATGCAGCCGTGAAAGCCCTGTGCCTTCGCTTTGTCGATCTCCAGCGATTCAGGGTCGGGAAGCGCGTACCCAGTCGCATTGTGAGACCGGCAAGGGGCGAGTCGGCGCCATTGCGCTTTGTGGGGTGGAGCGTGGGATCTTGGTCGCCGTCGCTCAAGAATCCCATATCATATTCGAAACAGCCCAGATCATTGTCGACGGGGCGAGTCCAGTCGGCGCTGTGGACCATGTCGGAGTTTTGGTGGATGCATGGCGAGTCACCTGTGTGAAATCGAAGGTCAGCCAAAAGAGCATGCAGTTGAAGGGGGTTTGGGGGAGATGGGAGGCCCTTCGAATCCTCTCGTCTCCCTCCCCCCATAAAAAGAGTGGTAGGGCCAGACGTACACAAACAGTCGTAGAGACTGCTCATCTGGTCGTCGGTCAACATGGTCATTGCAGAGTGGCGGTCCTCGTCCAGGTCGCCGTCGCTGTCGCCGTCGCGCTCGAGCGGCTCTTCTTGCACGTCTGGCAGCAGTCTCTTGTTGGCACTAGCGCTTGTGTTGTTGTTGTTGTTGTTGTTGTTGTTGGCATTGTGTGGGGGCTGGGCCGGTGACACTGGGCTGTCGGAGCAGGTCGAGGAAGTAGCTGCTTGAAGGTCGAGGGACGAGGTGGAGCTGGCGTATCGCAGGTGGCTACCACCGTGGTGGGAAAAGGTAGGAGTGAGGGGGGAGGTGAGGTCGGAAGCTGACGAGTTGGAGTTTGGATTGTAGTAAACGAAGGACTGGTCGCGAGTCTCGCTGGGCAGAGCAATTGGGTGTTGGTGTGGTTGCAAAGAAGAAGGCAATGTGTGCTGCTGCTGATCATTGTGCTGATCACTTTGTTCGGACTGGCCAGGGGGGTTGTTGTTGTTATTCCCGTGGAGCTGCTGATCGGTATCCTGGTATGATTGCTTCAGCCAGGCCCCTCCATCGGCCGGCAGCGACAGGTCTGCTGGTCGTGATCTTGCAGTAGACATTATGTTATGGGGTGGGTTTTCGCTGTGTCCGTAGGATAAAAGTTTGTTGCTGTCCTTGGTATGGTCTGGTGTCGGTCGGTAGTCGTGTTGTTTCTCTTGACGAGTTCGATTGGCGTCCCCAGCCTTTTGCTTCCTCCTCTGGCGCGGCAAACAAACACAGCTGTGTCTCTCTCTTTTCCTCTCTCGCTCGCTTGTGCGCGCGCGCACTCCAACTAGAAAGATGTTTTCAGAAGACACACACTCTCTCTCAAACACACACGCTCTCTCGCTCTCTCTGGACACTCAAATGCTGCAGACGGGTTGGATCATCAGGAGAACTGTAGGTGGGAGAAAGAATGGGGTGAAAGCTCTAGACAATGATAGGGTTATGTCGCGTGGTATTTCTTGTCCTGCCGGGGGGTGGTGGGTGGTGGGGGGGGCGAGCTCGAAAGTTCTGGGGTGTGATTTTTTGGGTTGGCGGGAAAAGGTGGTCGAGCTCAGGGATCGGGGATCACAGAGTTTCTTGGGTACGTACCGGCCCAATGACCGTTGGCTGGTGGGGTCAGTGCGGTGGATGAGAAAGAAGAACGAACTGTGTGTAAGACGGAAGAGCGAGGGCCTGGACAGGGCCTGCAGGCTTTGCAGGCTTGCCACAGAACAGGCCTGGCCTGGGTGGTGGTGGTGGTGCTGGGTACATAGTGGTGCCGGGTGTGTGGTGGAAACAGGAAACGGCCCAACCTTGGAAAAGCTTTACGGTATTAGTGCTAGGGTGGCAGTGGCTGCATACGGTACGTAGAGGACTGCTGTTCCCAGGTACTCGCCGTATGTACATAACCACCCTTCCCTAAACGGTAGCAGCTAGGCCCGAAAGGGCGCAGGAGGCCGATGCACGGATGGTGCTGCGGAAGAGACCTCCCAGGTGCCAGGGTCTATGAAAGGAACAACCTGGACCACTCCACTGGTCTCTGCTGCTTGCTGCTGCTACTGCTGCTGCTACTGCTACTGCCACTGCTGGGTGTTTGTGAGGTGGCTGTGTATGACTCTGTTGTGAGCTGCGAGATTCCATTCAACTCAGCTTACTTCGTGCAGCTCACAGTACACAGTTCGGAACAGCCTTTTTTTTTCTCTATAAATCTGCGAGGAAAAGGAGCATGAGTGATGATCATCATCATCATCATCATCCTGCTGCTGTGGCCCTGGACGGACTGGCGATACTGACATGACAGGACAGGATGGACAGAAAGCGCGAGAGGGCAGGGGAAGCAAGTCTCCGGTTCCAATTTTGGGTGAGCAAAGTACATACATGCATGCATACTGTACATACATACATAGACCTGACTACCGAGGGCGTGCATATACCACAGTACCTATGTAGCGCTGATCACTCGCCTACTCCTTCCGTCATTCTTTCTCTCAACGCCGGCATATGCTGTGTGCAGTGAAGTGGTTGGTTTACGGGCTACAATCTAGTCTAATCTACCTGGGTGCGCAGGAAAATAGCACAAAAATAAAATAGCTGACAGCGTGCTGCGTTGGAGAAACCAAGGTCAAGGCCCAGCTTTGGGCTTGCTGGAGGGGGAGAGAGGGATTGGGGGGGGGGGGGTTTGGTTGGTTGTGCATGTGCAGGAGAAAACACCCAGGCGCGATGCTATGCGATGCGATGCTGCAAGGGATCGTGACGCCGGCAGACAGTCGATTGGAGACTCGGATGTCACACGGAGTGCCGCCTAAACGCTGTCTCCCTCGCCGTCACCCACGGTCCAATCGACCTGACGTCGCAGCCCTGCTTCCCTTCTTGTCCATGGGAGTCCACAGGAGCACCGCTAAAGCAGTGGGGCGCGCGCAGGACATCTTTTTGCGAGTTCCCGATTTGTGTTGTGGATGCCAACTACTGTATTGTATGTACCTGCTGTACCTAGGTACCATACCCTGGATCGTCCATCGCAGTCTTCGCCCAACCTGCCCGAGAAAAGCCTCCGTGCATTGCCCAGGCGTGCTGAGAGCCAGGCTGGCCAGGCTGGCTGGCTTGGACCAAGGAAGTGGCCAGCAATGGCACAGGACGCCATCAACGTGGCCTCATAGTTGCCTGATAGACGGACTGATGACTGACTGGACTGGCTGGTCTGTCATGCGTGCCCACTGGCTTCGGTACAAAGCTGGGAATTTATTTGGTCGATATTTTGTGTGCATGCTTCTATCCCACCATGGCTACATGTGCGGGGCCAATGGACAAACTGCAACCATCCCATCCCCAGCAATAATTGTCAATTCTGCACAGCTTCATGCGCTTTCACGGCTGTGTTGGGGAAGAATTGATGTCGGAGGTGAGTGCCGTCATGTGGTGATGCCTCTCAAGTACACGGGTCCGTAGCACTGACGGCAGGCAGCTTTGGAAAGCACGACAATGCAGCGATGCGCTGGACCAAGAGTGCCCAACGCGAAATGGGGATCGCGTTGCCAATCAATCTTGCGAAGCTTATATCCCCTCCCCTTGTTCCTGCCACGTGAAGCGTCTGGATCGACGTGTGACTGTGGGTAGGCATAACTTTAGGCAGAGGTATCATACGTGTAATCAGACTCTACTAGATATTGCAGGACGGCCCAGTGCATATAATCTCTACTTGTGTGCTTTTTCTTTGAAGTTATTTATGGTGTCTCGCACCGCTTTTGCTCCAGATCAAGGGATGGATAGTAGTAGGCAGAGGCCGAGAGCGTCCCTCCAGCGCACCAAAGACGTTGAATCGAGCACATAGGATGATGAGCACAGGATGGGGCGGGCAACAGGATCAGAGGTGGCTGGGACTGCTGACGGGGTGGGTGTTGGGGAAGCAACTGCATGCGTGCAAATGTAACGAGTGGGGTGGTGCCGGCGCGGTGCGGTGCGGTGCGGCAGGATTGAGCCCGACGACGTGGTGCGGGCGGGAGGACGAACTGGATGGGTTCCATCTGGCCGTGTTGGTTGGGTGGCTTGCCTTTGGGTCTGGCCTGGCAGCCCTGGCTGGCGTCTGGCCGGTCAGAGAGGCTAGCCAACCTTGACAGCGACATCGTCGGACCGCCAAGCAGCCAAGCCATGTCTTGCCCCGAAAGAGTGACGCTGATGCGGCTTACAAACCTGGCTGCGGGCCAGGGGATTCGCCCAAGAGGCAGACAGGTCGGGCGAGCGAACTCTACACGTACCATACAGTACAGTAGAGCTGTGATGGTGTGGTGTGCAGCTGGGGCTGGTCTCTCCCTCTGGCTCTTTTCCTTTTTCTTTTTTATTTCTCTTTCTTTCTTCCTTCACTCCCGCAGTAGAGTTTGCAGTAGTCGGTCCGGAGGTGGCTAACATCAAGCCTCTCTCAGACTGAAGCGAACCAATGGCAAGATGGGAATCGGACTGAGCCCAGGCAGGAAGGAAGGAAAAAGAAAAGCCGCCTGCGCGCTGATATGACGGCGCCTCTGCCATCGTCATTGCTGCGCTCTGGTCCAGTGGATCGTCGTCGAGGAAAATGCCGCTACCGCTGCAACACCCTCAACCGCTACCGCTACCGCTACCGCTACCGCTACCCGCAGCGTTGCGCGAACGAGCGAGGGCCGAGGCGTCTCGCCGCTGGGCGGGCCGCGGGGCCCAGGCCGGCGGCCCACGTTGTTTCCGCGCGCTTTGAACGTTGGGGGAGAGAGCTAAAGAGACTTCCGGGTGTGCAGCTGTTCTTTCATGAAACGGCCGTTCCCCTCGTAGATGCAGATCGAAGTCTTGCGGCTCGTTATAGTGCCTGATTGCGTGCTAGCTAGAGCGCTGCCATCCCCAGTATTTTGGTCTGTTGGGGCTTTTCCAAGCGATCTTAATAGCCGACGGCTGGAACAAGCCAACCTGGCCGGCAAAGGCAACGAAGAGATTCGTGCAAACTTGCTCGTTGCTTCTTCCTTCTTCGCAAGCACCTCGCTTGGGCTAGTGTGTAGACAGGCTGACAGGCAGAGCGATGACGAAGGATGATATCTGGAGAGTGGGCCGAGCCATGATCCTGTCCTGGCTGACAGGCTTCAAGGCGCAGTGAGCAGGGAGCAGGGGGGAGAGGGCTGGGCAAGCCTTGCAAGCGAGCAAGCCTGGCGTCCTGGCGATTTGGTGGTGGCATGGGTCAATGGGCTCGGTGGGCCGGTGGGAACCTCTTCCTCGTCGTCTTCAGCCCTGGACCTGGGGGCCTGGGCCTGGACCTTCTCCCCTTTCTTGCTCCCTGGCACGCCTGGCTGGCCCTGGAAACCCTGCAGATTGCCACGAGAGACAGAATTGGCTTTCTCGAAACCTCTGCAGCGAATTGACTCGGGCTGCCGGAATGTCAATGGGCCTGCACACATGTGGGGCTCAAAGTGGGTTGTGTGCGGTGCAAAAAGCGAGCCTGCGCCGCCGCACTGCCCGTCGGCCTCGGGTCTGGCAGTCTGCCAACAAGCCGTTGCGTTGAGCAAGAACAGAACCTGATTAGGCCATGTCAGGTCAGGCTTGGTCAGTTTGACAGCGCGGGGTGAGGGATTAACACAACGTCGGCGTTCCACAGAGGCACCAAATGCCCACAGTAAGTAAAGCGCAGTGCTGTGCGCAGTGGGGCGGCGTCCGGTCAGCCAGTGTGAAGGTTCGTGTGAACCCGCTCCGATTGAGTTTCTAATGCCAGTCGGATGGCGCAGGTACTGCATTGTTTCCCCCCATGTTGCTTACACACTGCACGATGATAGCCTTTTCTGACATCCAGGTACGTGTACAGCAGAGCTGGTAGACCAGATGCTGCAAGGTGCACGGGAACAGCCACAGGGCACAGGAGCCAGAGAGGTGATGCTTCCTGGGTGGTGCTTGTTCTAACTGGATGGCCGGACAAAGCAACACGAGCCCCGTCAACGAGAACGAGGATGACTGCTGCAGCCCCACAGACCAAAGACCAGAGTGCCTCCTCCCCATGGAGTATCTGAGTCTTCGGCCTCGGGCGCTCAGTCGTCGGGGAGATTAGAAATTGCTCGTCAGGGTGTTCAGGGTGCCCAGGGTTTCGACAAAAAGT